GTGGGGGGGTGGGGGGGTAGGGGGGGTGTTGTCAGGCCTGGACCACAGCAGCCTCTCCCTTTGACTCCAGGGCCCAGATAAAAGCCAGTCTGCCCTGTGCAGGGCCACTGCAGGTGTCCACAGGCTGGGGTACTGACTGGCTGCTCTGCCTTGGGGACCCTCAAACACCTCATCAGTGGTCACCAGATCCCCACAGAGAAACCACATCTCACCTCTTCCCTGAAAACCCTCAAATCATAGAGGCCGGTTGAAGGTCAAGTTGCTCCCAGCTAGGCATCAGGACTGTCCTCACTGCCCCCACCCACCCCCTCTGTTTTCCTATTTCCCTCACAACCAGACCCTTCCCACCCTCCAAAGGCCATTTTCTAGGCCTTTCCATCTTTCCCACCCCACCCCCATAAAATAAGTTAATGGCATTTAAAGTGCTAAATTAGGAAACTAAAAGTACCAAATGCCCCTTTCAGGGCTGCCCTCTCAGGGCAGGCTGTCCACTGGAGCACCCTCTGCAGCAGGTGTCCTGCAGGCCTCCTTCTTCTGCTAGCACCAGCTACAGGGAGCTGGCTCCTCCCCTGGCACCTAGGGCCCTCCCTCCCTATGCCTCACACCCAGCTTAGAGCTCTTTGGCCTTGGCCTCCTCTCTGGGGGTCCCCTCCAGCAATCCTGCTTCCAGGCCCACTGGGGCCGGAGAAGAAAACAGTCAAACTGCAGCAGTGTTGTAATTCTTCCAAGGCCATCTCCAAGGCCAAGGTCTCCCTTGTCCATTGTCCAGCCTGCTGCTGGGTTGGTCCAGTGTCCATATGTTCCTCCAGGAAGGGACCCGGTAAGGGGAGGGATCTCTTGCGCTCCAAGTCTCCGTGGCTCAAAGTTTGTTCTGAGTGTTCTTGGGAAGTTAAGGGGAGGTGGGAACTTTGGATGGACTTAGGAGGAAGAGGGTGAAAGAGCAGAAGGGGAGAGGATGACAGGAAGTGGACCCAGGAGAGGCCACTAGGGGACAGGAAGTCAAGGGAAGATGGTGTGTTTGGTTTTTAGTTGTTCTCTTTTGCTCTTTAAAAAAAAAAAAAGATAATTAAGAGTGAATCATTTAAAAAACCAAAAACACCAACAGGGGATGAATAGAGAGAGCTGAGGGTTGTGCCCTCGAAACCCTCATGTGGGAGAGTGGGGAGGGTGGGGTGGACATGAAGAGGAAGCAGAGAGAGATGGCAGGAGTTGGAGAGGGGCAGGCTGGGGTGGTATGGGGGGCTTCTAGAAGGAGATGGAAGAATTCCTTGCCCCAAAGGAAGTCAATACAGGGATGGAGGTTCTGGAACCCGAGGGCTTTTCTGAGACTGGGCTCGAGGTCTCATTCGACCCGCTCATCTCTTTAGATGGTTTAGTGGCCTGGAACAAAAACAGGGGTCAGGGGTCAGAGAGAGCAAAGAGAGCCTCCATGCCGGCTCCTGGCTGAAGTTTTGAAAAATGGAAAACCTCCACGAATCCAAGAGAAAATTAACTGCAAAAGCGAGAAACCAGAGGGGCGCCTGGAGAGAGTGGTCCCCTGAACTGGGGGACAGGGGGCAGGGGAAGGGGGCAGGAGGTGTCTCAGCAGGGGCAGAAAGGAGGTGGGGGAAGGGTACAGGGTTGGATCAAAGGGCCTGGAAACCAGAGTGGGGAGGGTCAGTCCACGGTTACTGATAGGAAAGAGAGGAGCAGAAGAGAGACACCAGAGAGATCCACCCAGGAAAGGCAGAAGGGACAAGGGGTGGGAGGGGCAGGGGAAGGGAGGGAAAAGAAGTAAAAGGTTAGCAGCAACAGGATGTGGGGGGGGTCAGCAGCTCAGCCCAGCAGCCAAGGTCCCCTCTGGCCTCTGCAGGAGACCAGTCCTCATCAGAACCCTGGTGGAAATAGGGGTGAGCGAGCCCCACTTGGGGACTGGGGAGGAGCCACCCACCACCCTTTGCATCCCTCCAGCCCCAGAAGTCCTACAGTGGCTCTTCCTGCTCATGAAGCCCAGCTCTGAGTATCCCTAACAATAGCCAGAGACAGCTCTCTGAGGACCAAGCTGTGCTCCTGGCCAGCTCTGATGGTCAGAATCCCCCACACGCGGACACACACGGACACACACACACACACACACACACACACACACACACGCGCGCGCGCGCGCCCTCTTCTGCTTCTATGTTGGTCACCCAGGCTTGTCCTTTGGAGCTATAGTCTCCAGAGTGTGGTTCAAAAGCTATCTCCAGTACCTCCAAGGAAGACATACCTGTAGTATGTCTCGCAAACTCAGATTCCTGGAACCCTTTCCAGAATCATCTCCACTGTGGGTGTGGGAGTGTGCATTTTATCACCACTGGGTAGGGAAGACACACCATGCCTACCATGACTCTGCAATTATATCCAATAACCCACGTGAAGTTTAACTAGCTACCAGTGTAATAACTGAACAATCTTGATTTTAAAAAAACCAAAACACCCAGGCGTGGTGGCACATGCCTGTAGTCCCAGCACTTGGGAGGCAGAGGCAGGCGGATCTCTGTGAATTCAAGGCCAGCCTGGTCTACATAGTGAGTTCCAGGACAGCTGGGGCTACGGGGAGACCCTGTCTCAAAAAGACAAAAAGGAAAAAACAAACAAACAAAAAAAACAAATTTAGGGGTAGAGGTACACGCCTGTGATCCTCAAGGATATGAGGCTGAAGCAAATGGATTGCAAGTTCCAGCCCAGCCTGGACTACATAGGGAGACCCTGTCTCAATAAACCAAACCAACCAACCAACAACCAAAGCTACTGTAAAGAAAAAGAGCGAGCCAGGTATGATGGTGCACACCTTTAATCCCAGCACCTGGGAGACAAAAGCAAGTGGATCCCTGTGAGATGGAGGCCAGCCTGGTCTACATAGCAAGTTCCAGGTCAGCTGGGGCTGCAGAGATTTTGTCTCAAAAAAAGAAAAGGCTGAGCTGTAGCTCAGTATTAGAGCTCTTGCCTAGCATGCACAAAGTCCTGGATTCAACTTTCATTATGAAAATAAAAATTTTAAAAGTAATTTTTTTTGTCTTTTTGAGACGGGGTCTCTCTGTAGCCCCAGCTGCCCTAGAACTCACTATGTAGATCAGGCTGGCCTCGAACTCACAAAGATCCGCCTGCCTCTGCCTCCGGAGTGCTGGGATTAAAGGCGTGCGCCAACCACACCTGGCTTAAAAAGTAATTTTTTAAAATAATGAGCTTTATGTTCCAAGTGTCAGAGCTGTCTGGGGCCTCCTTTCCTTTGTAGAACACCATGAGGTTTGCAAGACTCTTCCCTACATGGGAATGTGTGATCTCTGATCCCTGTTGGCCTTTTCTGTCCCCATTGTCCAGATAAGGAAAGGCCCTAGGGAAAAGAGATTTGAATCAAGGCCACAGGCTGGACTAGTAGGAACATTGTTCCACCCAGATGATCCAGGTGGCTGGAACACACATGGACACCATAGGCATACTAACAGGGAACTGACAGGGGACCCAGTGAGTGGGCTGAGCAGACCCTGAGAGGCCCTGGGCAGCAGCAAAGGGGTTTGGTTGGCCGGAGGGTACAGATTTTAAGCTGCTATGTGTATGAGTGACCATTAAATCTGCATTTTTATGAAGTTCCCACAGGTCTTGGAAAATCGACCAGAGGAGACAGTTGTCACAGGCTGACCTTAAAAGATTAGGTGGTTACACTATAGGTTTTCCCTCCCACAATGCTGGGGATCAAACTCAGGGCCTCCTGCTTAGTAGGCAATCTTCCCCTGATCCACACCTCCCTACATCCGCTTCTTTATTGTTTTCTTTATTTAAAAATTTGCACAAGTGGCTGGGCGTGGTGGCGCATGCATTTAATCCCAGCACTCAGGAGGCAGAGGCAGGTGAATCACTGTGAGTTTGAGGCCAGCCTGGTCTACATAGTGAGTTCTAGGCCACAGGGAAACCCTGTCTCAAAAAGATCAAAAAAAATGAAAATAGCTATATTACATATATGAGAGTACATTAAATTGGGTGGAGGGCAGTGGGAGAGGTGAGGATAGGAGAGGGGGTCTAAATACCATTAAACTATATTGTATGAAAATGACAAAAATTTAGTAAAAGTTGGGTGCGGTGGCGCACGCCTTTGATCCCAGCACTCGGGAGGCAGAGGCAGGGGTGAATCTCTGTGAGTTCAAGGCCAGCCTGGTCTACATAGCGAGTTCTAGGCCAGCTGTAGCTACAGGAAAACCCTGTCTCAAAAAGACCAAAAAAAAAAAAAAAATCAATAAAAAAATAAAATTAGAAAAAAATTTCACAAGAAACATGTACTGCTTTGTCAGAAAGCAGATAGCTTAGGAAAGAAAAGAGCCTGGCATAGCGAGAATGACAGGAACAGCGAGCACAGGGCTGCAGGGTACAGCGCAAATGAGCCCCATCCTCAAGTGGGGAGGAGGGGCAGGAGAGGCCCATGGGGGTCCTGGAGCTGAGGAGTTCTGGGACTGGGTGGCACTTCCTAGGGGGACCACAAGGGGGCAGACACAGGTTGGGAGGGGAGGAGCTGAGGAGGCCAGCACTGTGACAGGGCAGGCAGGCAAAGTGGGAACACCCAGAAAGGAGCCAGGGATGCGAGGACAATCTGACTGTGACTTGTGTCACCCCATGGATCACCAGGGTTGATCTGGCTGGCTAGGCGGGTGTCCCCTTCCTCCCTCAAAACACCATGTGCATGCCTCCCGAAGCTGCATGCTTGGTCTGAGGACGAAATTCTCAAAGCCTTCCTCTGTAGATGACCATCCTTTGGTCATAGGTATATATAATCAGCTGTGGTTCCCTACTAGAACCTCCAAACAAGCTTTCAAAGTCCAGAAAGGAACCGGGAGGGGAGGGAGGATGTGAGAGTTGGGGGGTGGGGACGTGCCAAGGCGGGGTAGACTCTAAAGTCACATAGATGTGGGGGATGTCTAGACAGTCACATTACACAGAGGTGGGAAGAGGAAGGAAAGAGCCTCACGGTCCCTGGAGGCCTTGCCACACACACCCTGTGTAGAGGTGACAAGGCTGGAGGGGGCTGAGAGGGTCAGGACTGGAAGGGGTGCACCTGACCCACTGGGCAACAGGTGATAGGGCTGGACTGGGGGTAGGAGGCTAGGAGAAAGGATGAAGTATAACTGGAAAGTGGGGTGCTGAAGAGGCAGGAGCAGGAATGTGCATGGGGGAAGCCTGTCAGATGGCCTGAATTTACATCCTGCTCCCTGATCTTTCTACCTGTCCAAATAGAATAAGGCCCTACCTCAGAATGCTGCTAAAACAGGCATTTGTGCCGGGCGTGGTGGCACACGCCTTTAATCTCAGCACTCGGGAGGCAGAGGCAGGCAGATCCCTGTGAGTTCAAGGCCAGCCTGGTCTACATAGTGAGTTCCAGGATGACTGGAGCTACAGGGAGACCCTGTGTCAAAAAGGCCAAAAAAATAACAACACCAGGCATTTGCTCCTGGCACAAGTGAACATCCCATAACCATCAGCTGCTTTTCTGGGCATGAAGGTGGGGGTCTCCTGGACAAGACAAGGGGTATTCACCTACTGTGACTGAAGGAAAGAACTGGGATGGGTCTCACAAGGAGGGTCTGGGGACCGTAAGAAAAGTGAAGGCTGGTGAGGAGAGGCTGGTGGAAGGCTGGATGCTGATCCTCCTAGGAGCTAGCAGGCAAACAGGGCTTCATATGCCCAAAGCTGTCTAGGGCCTGTGGTGAGAAGGGCTTTAGGATAGCTAGGTCCTAGTCTTGGCTCTAATGCTACTTGCTATGGAAGGTCCCTCTCCTGTTCTGAGCTGACCCTTATCTGTAAAGGAGGTGGCCAGTCTTGGCAATCCCTAACCTTCCACCTCTGAGCTTATAATCTCCATCTGCACAGAGCAAAGGCCTACCTGGCACCCCAAACAGGCCTGACACATGGAAGCTACTCAGGAAAGTTCTTAACTGAACAAGGGAACCAAAGGGCTCTCAACAGCTACATCCAGAGCCTTCCTATACCTTCTGACCAAGTAGGCCACACAAGCAGGCGCCCATGAATGAAGTCTGCCAACTCCATGCATGCCAATGAAATCCACGGGACTTCTACTAGACCTGCTCTGCCCTAGAAGATCAGTCATGATTCCACTGACCTGAATGAAAAAAAAAGGGCAAAACCAGCTGCTCCCTGAGATGGAGGCAGATAGAGAGGTACAGAGGAGGGCAGAAGGATGAGATAGGTGTGGCATAGGCTAACCTTAGATAAACAACCACCCACAGGGACAGGGGAACAGGAATCTGTACAGGTAAGAAGGGGAGTCAGAGGGCTCCCAGAGGCAGAGGGTTGGTTGTGAACTCAGGAACTGATGTCTAAACCAGATCAAAAGCATTGGGGCTGCAAAGAGGGAGAAAATGGGGGAACAGTCCTGACATGGAGAGTCTCACAACAAGAGAAATCATGATGAGAACAGTGACACATAGTAGAGGCTTGGTGCATGACCCTCTAGGGGCCTGGGTGCCCCAGATCCTGGCCTCACCTGCTGCTGGGCCTGGATCCTCATGTACTCCGCCCGTTGCTTGCTGTGTTTGCCTTTGTCAGGGCTGCCTGCTGGGGCCTGAGCTGTCTTCAGCCGAGAGGCCCCTGGAGTCACCACCTTCATGGGTGGCACACTGCCACCACCACTCTGTGGAAAGAGAGACAGGGCTGGGATGGGACAGGCCTATGTGGAACCCTAGGCATTGGGTGGAGTTTCTAGGATCAAGATTTCCTCAGGGAGACCCTCCCTGGCTCCACATCTCCATCCAGGACTGGGGTCCCCTCTGAGCCCCAGTTCAAGGTGTCTCTTCAGGAGATGGGCAAGTCTAGACCCTGTCCTGTGTGAGCACTTGTCTGTGGCTTTCTTGAGTAGCCCAGGGAAGCCACTTCTTCTGGCATGGTCCCAGTACCACTCTACTCCTGGCAAAGGACACCAATCTGGTCCAGGGGACACAGAGTTGGAATGGGGGGGAGAGTCTATAATGACAAATAAAACAGCCCCAGGTCCACATCACCCCCAGAGTGAGAGGCTAAAGTTTCCCTAGAGGTAGGAAATCTGGCGTCCTTGCCACCCCCTCCCCATGAAGGGCTCTGGGGATCCAGAGGCGCAATCAGAGAAATGACAGTGACAGAGAGTCAGAGACAGGAGGGGGAGCAAGGGATGGAGAAGAGGAGAAAGCTTTATTCTCTGGCTTACAGGGAGCAGAGGGACAGACCCCACTTGGTTCATGCCCAGGCTGGGGCATGAGTCCTGGGTGGGCCAGCTTCCTGGCCGCCCCTGGCTCTGCCCATAGGCTCTGGCCTGACAAGCAGGTTCCCAGAAGGTAGTGGGCTGAGACAAAGCCGGTAAGGATGAGATAGGTGGGTAGATCTCCTGTGCTCTCACTCTGCAGGCTCAGAGACTGGAGCAAGAAGGTGACAGGGGAGGACAGGAGGAAGGTAGCCACCTGGGTGCAGGGGGACAGGGGTGGGAGGCTGCCTGGGCACTCCATAGTGGGGTGGGCACCCATCTCCCTCAGGGTGGCTTCCAGCTCCTGGAGTGTCTCCTCCAGGCTGTCCATCCGCAGGGAGGTGGTTCGTTGCTCTGTGCCTCCTGGGCTGAAGGCCTGCTGTCCTCCACTGCAAGCTTGGGCGGCACATTCAAAGTCCTTGGGGGTCTCCACTGAGTAGGTCTCAGCACTGGCAGGCTTCTGAGTCTCATCTAGGGCTAATGCCCAAGGAAAAGGATCTTTGGATTGTGCATCGTCTGGGCCCTGCAGAGTTGGTTCCTTCCCGGGTACTGGGCTGCGACTGGACCAGAAGGCCTCAGCTACTAGTCCCCGCAAGGCCTGTGAGCCATCCCAGGCCCTCCCACTGCCAGCCAGCGTCCGGGGTCTTGGCGTGGGGGCTGTCTTGAGACCCAGTTCCTCCAAGCTGGTCTCTGGCGGGGAGGGAGAACTAGAAGTACATTCTGTCAAGATGATCCGAGGGACACATAAGGCCCTGGGACCTGAGGCAGCCTAGGGGGGACAGAAAGTGAGGAAGAGTGTGATCCCTATAGACCAAATCCCGAGCTGAGATGGGGCTAAAAGATGGGTCCCTTCCTCTCACAGATGGGAAAACTGAAGCAGGGGAGGTCCTGATGATGTCACCCAGGAGGCAAAGCTGAACCTAGAGTGCAGGTGTCTTTCCACCCCTTAGCTTCTGCTTCCTGCCAGTTGTAGAAGCATGGGAGAGTGTGCCTTTTCCATCACTCAGGTTAAACCTGCAAGCAAGTCTCAGGGTTTGTCCCATGAGCTTACCCATCTGTGCAATGGGACAGTAACATGGGATCTGTGGTAAATTGAGTCCATGAAGCCATTGTATTAAGTGCCTGGTGCTATGTGAGCAAATACAAGCTACTGGCTGAATTGAGCTAAATAACCAAGATCCTCAGCTGTGTGGGCAAAGAGCAGACGCTGGACTCAGCCTTGAGGGTGGGGCCATCATCTTTGTCTTGGCCACAAGCTCCTGCGCCTGGGAGCCCTTCCACAGGGAACTCCGCAGCAGAGAAGCAGAGTTCACCCTTAGCCTGTTCCTCTCCTCACACTCTCCCAAAGCTCCCACTAGGCATGTACTTCTGTGTGTGCACCCCTGGCTGTGACTGGGGCCCAGGCCAGGAGGCCACAAGAACACCATATATCTGAGTGAATCCATCCTTATCTCCAAGTACCAGCCCCTGTCAGACACCATGGTGTGTGTCCTCGTCAATGCTTTCTGCAACCCATGAAATGACTGCCACTTTCCCTCTTCCCTCTTCAGAGGTAAGAGGTGTTATGGGACTCACACCCTCTCTGATCTTCAACTAGTTAGTGGTAGAGCCAGGATTTGAACCCAGACAGCCTGAGTCCAAGTCCGGTGCTCATTACACTAAAGGAGCTTTGAGGAAAGCCCTGCCACCCCTCCCAAGGGAGCCCACCCAGCCCTGCCACTGCTTACCTGGAAGTGGGGTGCACCAGGGAAGGCAAAGAGGCCCCCGCTCGCCAGGCTCCTCTGCCTAACAGTGTCTCTGAATGCAGAGAGATAGCCAGAGAGTCCTTGCCTGCTGGGCCCCTTCAGGACTGGGCCCCAGAACCAGAAAAGGGCAGAACTGGGTGTCCAGGGTAGCCAGTGTGGATGCCTCAGCCACACTGTTGAGCCTGAAGGGTCTGGAACCTACAGACAACACTGTCCACCTTCTGATGCCTGTCTGCTCCCCTACCAGGAGTCCAAAGGCACTAGGCCTCAAGCCAGGCCAGTTCCAGAGTCCAAAGGCGCTAGGCCTCAAGCCAGGCCAGTTCCAGTGGCTTGCCATCAAGGAGCCCACTGTGGGCCAGGAAGAACCACACAAGGAAGGGAAGGGTGTGTGTGTGTGTGTACACAGAAGGCTATCCCTCCCAGAAGAGGGGCCCTCCTGCCCCAACCTGGCCAGGCAGAGGGAGAGTTCCCCAGACCTTCCCACCATCCTCTCCACCAAGCACAAGCCCATGGGGTGCAGACAGCAGGTCCACCCCCAAATTCCCAAGAAAAAAATAAAGAGGAAATAAATGCAGCAGGACAGTAGCAAGGACTTAAGTTAGAAGAAAGAACTTCTCAATGCTGAAAGACAGAACCAGAAGCCAAGGAAGGCCATGGGTTTCTTCCATTCCAAGCTCCCTGCCCAAGGGGGCAAGATGGGCCATGGGGCAGGGGAAGGTTGTAGGAAAACCATTTCCCTGGTCTGTTCTGGCCTCCCCAGTGCAAGGCATAGATTCTAGTGGGGGGAAGCAGAGCCCCTTCCCTGGCATGAGCCACAGAGCAGGGCATAGAGGTGGGGACTAGGTAAGGGGTCAGGACAAGGTCAGTCTGAGTTGGACCTGATGTCAATTCCAAAGCAAGATCCAAATTCAGCTTAGCTCAAGACATCTCACAGGCTTTGGGCCTGGCCTAAACTCAGACTGCAAATGGGAACAAAGCGCCCTCGGAACCAGACAGAACCAGGCCTGGACACCCAGGCTGTGCAGTCTCAGGGGAAGCCCCCGGGGAAGCCTGAGGGAAGGATGAGTTGTGCAGTTGTGCTCTACCCTTGGCAGGTGCAGGAGGGTGAGTCCACGGGCGAGAAGCTGGAGCAGTGGCAAAGGGGCTGGCGTGGATTGCGTGTTAGCAGCTTAGCATGAGGTGCAGAAAGGAAGCTGTGGAGGCACAGGCAGAGAGAGCTGTGAGAGGTGCAGGGAGGCCCGTTACCTTCCGTGGGGAGCCTGAGGCCGAGCCCCCAGGCGACCCCAGGTCCTGGGGGGACAGCAAGGTGGGGATCGGCTGGCGGCGGGGCGTGGGGGGGAGGGAAGATACTGAGCTTCTCTCAAACACCTGGGGAGCAGAAGGTTGGGGTAGGTTTGGAGGAGGGGATCCAGGGAGAATCAGGCTGTTGGTTGGATACCCAGACACCTATAGAGGGTGGTGGCATGAGATGGCATGGGCCCCAGCCTCACCCCTTGGCCCCTCACAAGGGCCACTGGTTGGCTATGCCTCCATTTGGCAGGACCCTGTCTGTCCAGGGACTCTAGCATGGGGCAGGGGCTGCCGAGAACCTTGCAAGTCCTAGTTGGCAGTACTGGGAGTCTAGACCCCTGGGCACCAGCATGCTGGTCTCAGAATACTAAGGTATGAGGGTCCCATAGCATTAGCTGCCCTGAGGACCCTTGGAGTAGGTCTCAGCTCCCAGTGAGCTCAGACTATGCAAGTCTGTGGGGCTTTTATATAGTGGGTTTTTGGGTACTTGGGGGAATCTGAGAGACTAGAATAAAAACTCAGACCTGCCCAGGAGGGACTTTAGGACCCCCCCCCCATTTTACAGTGGAGAAGAAAGGAGGCAAGATAAATGGATCTTGGGACTGGCCTGCTGCCTAGCCCTGGGGCAGGCCTGGCAGGGAACTGGGTCTGGTTGTGGCCTTGGTCAGTCAATGCCTGACCCACCTCCAGCTCAGCTATGATGCGGTCCTCATCGTCTTCATCCTTGATAGCCGACGCCATGATGGGTGGTGTGGAGGCAGGGCGGGTCACCTCGGACACAGCCCGGCGCAGCTTCACCTGGGGCTTCTGCACCTCCAGCTCCTCAGACTCAGCCTTCTGCAAAGCCCAGGTGCCCTATGAAGCCCAGGCCTTGCCTTCCCTCCAGCACCAGCTCACCCCCCACCTACCCTGGCACCACCAGTTCCCTGTCAGGAAGGGCCTCTGTAGGATTAGGACAATACATCCCCGCCTGGATCTCGAGCTGGAAGTCAAGTTGCACTGGCTGACCCCTTTCCTTTTACTGAGTGTACCCAAAGATCCTCTCAGTTTTTCCCCTCAAGCCAACCAAGTGGGCGTGTACCTTGATGAAGGCCGAGTCTTTCTTGCTGGTGACCACTACCTCTCCAGTGCGAGTGGTGGTCAGGCCATGGGAGGAAGGGAAGCTCCGCCGGGGAGGAGGTGGCGGGGGGGATTTGGACGGTTTCTCCGTGCGGTAACGGGGTACTGTGAGTTCATCTGTAAACAGTGAGGGCCTAGGGTCAGGGACCCCTCACCCTGGTGTCCACATGTGCTAACTTCACCAGGGATGACCAGGAGGAAAGGGCAGCTCCAGGGAGAAGAGCAGTCACCCCTCACCCCATGCTGTTTCCTTCGATAGTACTCTATGCCCTTGCTGCTATTCAAAGTGTGGTCCGTGAGCCAGGAGCACTGCAGCACCTGGGAGCCTGTCAGACTGGATCTAAGGCCCCTTGTCCTCACTGCTAATCCAGCATGGGCATTCTGACAGATCCCTGGGATTCATGCCCATGTTCAAGCTTGGGACTTTGTACTGCTCCAATCTGTCTCCCGGACATAGCTGTCCCTGTGCTCTGCCAGACCCAAGAGCTTCATCCTTTCTCCAAGGAATCTGGCCCTGCCCCTGCAATGTCCCCCCATTCCCCCTCCTGACTGGTTCCCATGGCAACCTGCTGTAAGGTCACTCAAACCATGACACCCCTGCCTTTGATATTCCAGCAGCTCTCCATCACCATAAACTAATCCAAACTCCTACTCCATCACCCTCTGCACATGCCAGCCTCTTGGCCTCACTCCGCATCACCACCCAGCTTGGATCCTAGCAAAGCCTCCCCTCCCCCCAATTTACCATTCTGCTCCCTGGAAGATGCACTCACTGGTTGGGATGTACTTGTTCGTTTCTAAGGCTCTGGTGGAAAGCCCCCTCCTCTGGGAGGTGCCCCTGATCACCCAGGGTACCCTCTAGGACTGTACAACTCCAGCCCAGCTCACAAGGTATACTTAGCCCCTATGTTTTCTTTCTAGGAACACATTAAATGAGGCCTGGGACAGATTACTTAAGCATTTGGAGTCTTGATATCCTCATTGTAAGGTGGGATTGACTGAATCTGCCTCTGCAACTGCTGCAAAATCATAAGGACTAAGACCCAGAAGGCATCCTGTAGTAAGTGCCTGGGAAATGTGACAGCCTGTCCTGCCATTAAATTCTGAGTATGGGCTGGCAAGATGGCTCAGAGGGTAAAGGTGCTTGATGTACAAACCTGATCTGAGTTCAACCCCAGGATCCCATGGTGAAAGGAGAGAACCAACTCCCACAAGCTGTCCTCTAACCTCCACACATGTACTATAGTATACACACACACACACACACACACACACACACACACACACACAGAGTATTAATCATTTAAAAATTAAATTTAAAACAGCTTCTGAGCTCCCTGAAAACAAGCACTGACTTCTTTCTCTCCAAAGCACCTTGCACAGTCAGTGTTGATGGAATACATGAACCAATGACAGCAGCAACTCTGGTTCAGAGGCTGCCTCTCCACCATCCTGCAGGCTTGGAGCTCAGAACCCTGCCATACTAGTCAGCACTGGCTGCTCTCAGCACAGCCTGGCTCACACATGCGCAGACAGGGCGAGCCCTCAATCACTCTGCCTGCATGAGCCTCCCAGCAGCAGTGTGAAGAGCCCTGGCTGGAGTCTCGCCTCCTCTGTCCAGCTGAGGGCTGGCTGCTGTGGCTAGTGCCCCTTTTCTCTGGCAGCCTGGCCAACATGATGATCACTCCCTAGTGCGTCCCCCATGAGGATGGAGCGCCCTAATTCTGGGGCCCTCAAAGCCCATACCTGAACCTCTCCTCCCACTGGGCTCTGTCCGTGGGGCTGCCTTCTGGCCATGGGGTGCCTTGGAGGGCTTGTGGTCTGGGGTGGGGGCGGGGCCCGGGTGGGCCTTGCTGGCACAGTCCAGGTCGGGGATGGCCTTGAGTAGCTCAGCCTGTGTCTCCTCCAGCAGCCGGTTAATGTCCTTGGCACTGTACTGGGTCAGGGCTGCCCGTTTCTCTTCCCAGTCTCTCTCTGCAGCCTTGAGAGGAGAGGCAGAGCCAGAGCCAGTGTCAAGACTCCTGTCCATGACCCCCCAAGCTCCCAGACTCAGCCCCTTCTCTAGCCATATCTGCAAGGGATACAAAGGGAACCTCAAAGAGATCCAGCCCCCCGGCAGACACGCAGCCTCCTACTGGGTGTTCCACACTGTCCCCATGGTTTAAGGAGGCCACCTTCATTAAATACTAGATTTTTAGGCCTATTTCTGGCCATTCTGTTTCATTGATCATGTAGCCCATTCTTTATGTAAATACCATACTACTTTAATTATCATAGCTTTATAGTATGCTTTCTATCTTCTAGAAAAGTAAAAATCACCAACATTATGCATCTCAGATTTTTGTGCCTCCCTAAGAAAAAGGACTTGTGTTCATTCAGCACCTGCCACTCTAGGGTGATAGTAAGAACTGTGAACCTAGCTTGTTCCCCATGTCCTGGCCCAGCACCTCAACAGACACAGCCTTGTCCATGCTTCTCTTGCCAGGCGCATCCAGGCCTTTGGTGGGATTGCTGCCCTTGGGGGTCAGAGGGGCTCCTTCAGTGGGACCACTCAGCTCATGGAGGTTCAGTGGAGGACTAGGAGGTGGTATTTCGAAGTCCAAGCCCTTGCTGAAGTCTGTCTCAGCTGTCACTTTCTTGGGGGACTGGTTCAGGAGGTTGTTGGGGGGTGGCCACACACCCTCGTCCACTTGCCTATCGTGGGGAGAGTATGGAGCAGCTGGTGAGAGGTGGTGACCCCTCAAAGGGAACCTGCCTGGGGGAAATGGTTGTGAGGAAGGTTCTGGAATCTTTCAGGAGAGATGGGAGGGTCTGGGGAGGTGTGTGAAGGAGGCTATAGCATGCAGGGATCACAGATCAGAATTCAAGTACAGATCTGGCCAGCATACCACTGACCCCCGGGGAATTGAGTCTGAGGCCAGTTTATAGCCCCATGGGAAATCAGAGATTGGGTAGAGACTGACCTGCGGATCTGGGCCAGTGTGTCGGTGACCCCCCGGCAGCGCTTGAGGAGCCCATCCAGGCGCTGGGGTTCCTCCTTCAGGAACTTCACAGCCTCCACCTCCACACGTAGCACTACCCGCATCTTGCTCTGCAGGCCTGGGAAATGAGCTGAGGGGGCAGGAGGAGTGAGCTGACTGGGAGGAAGTACCAGGAACTGGCGGCACTGGTGGGAAGCACAGCAGAGACCCCCCCTCAAGCCCCCCTCACCACCACAGACTCACCCTTGAGCTCTGTCAGTGTCTCCCCAAGCTGCTTCAGCACCAGTGCCTTTTCTTCCAGCTCAGGGCCAGGCACTAGCCGGTGGTTATGGGCCACATCCCTCTGGATCTTCTCCACCGACTTCTCTAGATCACTGCAGCCACAGAGAGACCCTCTCAGCCCCTCTGGCCCCAGCCCAGCCCCCTGAAATTTAGCAGCTGGAAAAAAATCAGGCCACCAATCAGATGAAAATTAAAAGGTATAACCAGGTGTGGTGGTTCACTCCTCTAATCTCAGCACTTGGGAGGCTGAGGCAGAAGGATTGCCACAAGTTTGAGGCTAGTCTGAGTTACATAGTAAGGTCCTGACTCAAACAAAATAAAACAAAAACAAAAATTAAAAACCAATCACCAGGGCTGGAGAGATGGCTCAGTGGTTAAGAACACTGGTTGTTCTTGTAGAAGACCCGGGTTCGAATCCCAGAACCCGCATGGCAGCTAGCAACTGTCGGTAACTCCAGTCCCAGGGGACCCGACAGCCTCTTCTGACCAATGAGGGCATTGCACGACATGGGTGCACTTGCCTACATGCAGGCAATACACACATACACATAAAATAAAAAAAATTAAAAAATCACCAGGTCACATGCCCAAGTAAAATCAGAAATGCTGAATCTCAGAGATGAGACCTTCAAAAAGCTCCCTAAAAGGTGTCTTGCCACCCAGAAGCAGCCCTCATCTACAGCAACATCAGTACAACTCTCTTGCCCTTGCAGCCTTGGATGGTTCAAGGAAGCAGCAGAAAACCCAGCAGCCTTGCATGGCTTTACAGAAGGCCAGAGGCAGCTATGTCTGTCTTTGAGGGCACAGCCATGCCCATCACCTTGTGTCAAATGACACACAGCCTCTTTCCTTGAAGCCAAAACTGTTACAGGTTTTCAGCTGGTCTATACTATACATGGATCATTTAAGATCCCATCATCTCTCCCTAAATGTAAACTGGGAGCCAATCATGGTGGTACATATTTGTAATCCCAACACTTGGGAGGCTGGGAGAGACTGCAGGAGGATCAGGAATTTAAGGCTAGCCTGTGCAACATACACAGCAAGACTCTCTCGAGAAAAAAAAAAAAAAAAAAGACCAAGGGGGGCTGAAGAGATAGCTCAGCGGGTAAGAACACTTGCTGTTCTTCCAGAGGACCCAGGTTCTATTCCCAGCACCCACATAGTGGCTAACAACTATCTGTAACTCCAGTTCTAGGGGCTCTGACACCCTCTTCTGGCCTCTGTGGGGCAATGCATGCATGTGGTGCACTTACATTCAGGCAAAACACCCATACACATAAAATAAAAATAATAAAATATTTTTTTTGTCTTTTTGAGACAGGGTCTCCCTGTAGCCCCAGCTGTCCTGGAACTCACTATGTGGTCCAGGCTGGCTTTGAACTCACAGAAATCTGCCTGCCTCTGCCTCCTGAGTGCTGGGATTAAAGGCGTGTGCCACCACGCTCAGCCAATAAATAAAACACCAAAAGCAAATCAAATCACAACCCTGTGTATTAAGCTCTAAATGTGGGGGTGGGAGGGAGATGGCTCAGTGGGCAAAGCAGTTGCTGTGCAAGCATGAGGACTTGAGCTTGAATCCCCTTGTAAAAGCACAGCATAGCAGTGGGCATCTTTAGCACCAGTGTTGGGAGACAGAGATCCTGGGGACTTGCTGGCTGGCTCCAGGTTCAGTGAGAGACACTGTCTGAAAAAGTAGACAGCAGTGATAGAGGAAGACACCCATTGTCAACCTCTCACTTACACATGTGCACCAACTCACACATGCTTACACACAAGATAAATAAATAGAAAAAAATAAGCCAGGGTGATGACATATGCCTTTAATCCCAGCACTTGGGAGACAGAGGCAGGTGGATCTCTGTGAGATCAAGGCCAGCCTGGTCTCTATAGTGAGTTCCACACTAGCTAGAGCTACAGGATGACCCTCTCAAAAGACATAAATAAATAAATAAATAAATAAATAAATAAATAAATAAACAAACAAACAAATCCTAAATGGATCCATCATCCTAAGGCTAACCCCCAAAGTCCTCAGTACAGCCAAGAAGGGTCCATGAGTTGAAGACTTGGCTCTACAGTCAGCAAGATCTGAACTCTAGCTCCTGCTCTGCTTTCCCAGCAGAAAGCTCTTGTGCAATTACCTAATGTCTCTTGACCTCAGTCTTCTCACTCAAAAAATGAGTGTGCTGGGGCTGGTGAGATGGCTCAGTGGGGAAGCACACTTGCTGCTAAGACTGACGACCCATATGGTGGAAGGAGAGAACTGACTTCCACAAGTAGTCCTCTGACCACCACATGAGTACTGTGATACACACACACACACACACACACACACACACACACACACAATAAAGAAATGAATATGCTGAGTGCCTCCCTTGTGACCATGATGAGGATGAAAAGAGCTAATGGTCCCTGGAGTTGTTCTTGCCTCTCCCTGTGGCTGCATCGCCACCCCTACCTGGCTTGCTCTGCTTAGGCCATTCAGAATTCCCCTGAAGTCTTTATAGGTGTTGCTCTCTCTGACCCTTTAAATATGCCATATGATCCACCTAGAATACTGTACTCACATACAAGCGCACACGTGTGCACGCACGCGCACACACACACACACACACACACACACACACACACACAAATTTCCATGCTAATTTCATCTCAGATCTCAAAGAAAAGCTGTTCCTCCCCTCAGAGTTGGGGGGGCGTCTTCTATCTTCCAGTCCCCTGAAGCTCTTCTTTGTGGTCCCTAGCTCCAGGCAGGTAAGAACTATGTCTTCCAGATTCATCTCTGATTCACAGCACCCGGTACACTGCCTGGTGCAGAGTGAATATCTGGTATGTAATTGTGGAATGAATGAAGAAGTGAGAGAAAGAATTGCTACAGGTAGGTCATCTCAATCCTGTACTGAGTCCGGGCATCCCTGACCCACATGCAGGACTTTATACATACATTCTTGTCAAGTCCTATCTGTTGGATTTCAGCTCAAAAGTCCAGGTGTGAATGACTTAAATATGTTCTACCACCTGACATGTCTGCATCAAACAATCTCATCAGCATGCCTTAAACATCTTCATCCAACCAGTGAATGAAAAGACTAGGGGAGATCCAAGGGCAAAAATCCTGAGACTCAGCACTACCAGTTAAAGCACTACCTTGCTTATGAAGCACTTCCTGTATGCCAGATGTCACATCAGCCCTGTATATTCATTATCTTAATTTAACCTTAAAACAAATCCTGGAGGTGGGAACATTACTTCCAGTCAACACACAAACAGTGGTTCAAATACCAGACTACATTACTACATTACCTAGCTTCCCTTGCAGTAAAAAGTGGGCATTTGGGGGCTGGAGAGATGGCTCAGCGTTAAGAGCACTGACTGCTTTTGCAGAGGACCCGGGTTTGATTCCCAGCACCCACATGGCAACTATGAACCATCCTTAACTCCTGTTCCAGGGGAATCCGAAGCCCTCTTCTGACCTCTGTGGCATTGCACGACACATACATGCAGGTGCACTCACATACATGCAGGCAATACACATACATGCAATACACATACACATACATGCAGGCAATACACATAAAATAAAAATAAAATATTTTTTTAAAAAGTGGTCTACCCAATGGAATATGGATGGAAAGGGGTACATGTTGTTTCCAGATCTAGTCCATAAAGTTCTCCCACATAAGTTCCCTCCACACCCTCACACCCTTTCCCCTTCTGGTTGACTCCAAAGTCATGACCTTCTGTGTGATCATAGAAGGCACATGATAAAAAAATGGCAGAGCCGGTTGTGGTGGCACATGGCGGTAGGATATGCTGAAGAGGCAGAGGCAGGAGGATCATGAGTTCGAAGCCAGCCTGGGCTACAAATTTAGCAGCCGTGGTGGTGCACGCCTTTAATCCCAGCACTTGGGAAGCAGAGGCAGGCGGATCTCTGTGAGTTCAAGGCCAGCCTGGTCTACATAGTGAGTTCCAGGACAGTTGGGGCTACAGGGAGACCCTGTCTCAAAAAGACCAAAGGGGGAAAAAAAAAAAGGCAGAACCTTCATCAGGTTGGGTCCCTGAATGATTTCATGGAGGAGAGATACCCTGTTAACCCATCTACAGTTCTACAGTGATTCCTGAGAAGAATTACTTTTTTTTTTTTTTTTTGAGTCAGGATCTTCTATATCCCTGGAACTCACAGAGATCTGCCTGCCTTTGCCTCCTGAGTACTGGGATTAAAGGTGTGTGCCACCACACTGGACAGAACTTCTGATCTTGTCTTTACCTCCTGAGACTGGAATTATAGGCCTGTGCCACCATGCTCAGTTTAATGTCTATTACTTTGAAACATTAAACAATTTAAGAGTTGTTATAGCAGCTGCCTTAACTAATTAATAAGGTACCCTAACTGAGGCTTTGGCATTAAAAAAGGGAGGTGTGGGAGACTCAGAAATTAATTAATACAAAGTCATACAACTATTCTGTGGCAGAGCAGTATCTACTCAAATTGGACTTCAGCCATTACCTGTGCTGCATCTCATTTCCACGCTGCACTAATGTCATGTAGCTGCCGTCCATCCAGCCCTCACTCTACCACATGGGAAAGACCAGCTCTTTCCTGCTGTGTGTATGATACCCTGACTGGTTCAGGCTTGCCAACCAGTTTCATAAAATGGTCATTCCCAAACATCATCTTGAGGGGAGGAAAAAGAACCCTTATTTATTTCTTTTTTGGTCTTTTTGAGACAGGGTCTCCCTGTAGCCCCAGCTGTCCTGAAACTCACTATGTAGACCACGCTGGCCTTGAACTCACAGAGATCCACCTGCCTCTGTCTCCCGAGTGCTGGGATTAAATGTGTGCGCCACCACGCCTGGCTAAGAAACCCTTATTTAAAAGAGAACTCTAGGATACCTTCAGCAGGACAACACTGCAATTTACAAGGAAGGATCAGCCCCACCTGCCTTAGTCTCCATCAACACCTTGGTTTTCTGATCATTCAGTATGCCAAAATTTTGGAACCCTTAACTTGGGCAGGTGCTACAAATAAGTCCTAGCTCACATAGACACTGGATTCTTAAGAGGCTGGGAACTGGAGGCATAGGTGTCAGTGCTACAGCACTTGTCCAGTATGCACAGGTTTTATCTCCAGCACTGAAAAAAAAAATGTGGCTAGGTTTTTAAGGTCTGCATTTAGTGCTCAAAGGGTCAGGAAAAGATTAGAATCAGCCGAAATAATTTGCAGGGCCAACTGTAAAAATGAAAATGTGTCCTTAGTTCAAAAATCATTCAGGGGAGCTAGAGAGGCAGCTCAGCAGTTAAGAGGGCTTCCTGCTCTTCCAGAGGGCCTGAGTTCAATTCCCAGTACCCACATCAGATGGCTCACAACACTTGTAACTCCAATTCCAGGGGATCAAACACCCTCTTCTGGCCTCTACAGGCACCTCTACACAGGTGGCATATTCTGTGTCTGTCTGTCTCTTTTCTCTCTCATAAAATAAAAAATAATTTTTAAAAAAACTAATCACAGGCTGGGCGTGGTGGTACATGCCTTTAATCCCAGCACTTAGGAGGCAGAGGCAGACAGATCTTTGTGAGTTCGAGGCCAGCCTGGTCTACATAGGAGTTCCAGGACAGCTGGGGCTACAAGGAGACCCTGTCTCAAAAAAGAAAAAAACAAACAAACAAAAAACCTAATCATTCAGAATCTCATAATGGTGATGGCAGAGCATTAAAACAGCATCAATCCTTCTGAGCACAGACCCTGTGAGCTGCACAGGTCACCCCTCCCCACAATGAGTTCTCAGTCAGCAAAGGCAGATTCCAAGAGCCAATAGGCCTCAGTCAGGAGGGACAGCTCTCAAAGACAATGTCCAAGCAGAGCCCAAGTGTTTGGCTAGACAGACAGGTTAGAGTGAGCCCAGCTGAATGAAATCAAGAACCAGCCTTGATCATCAACAGGACAGCAGGAAAGAAGAAGGGGCAGAGGAACATGGAAGAATAGCAAGTGAGGAGGGTTTGCAGCCAGAGAAGGGCCTTCAAGGCCAGTCCAGAGCCACCACAGGGCTAGCATGCAGCTCAGCCCCTGTCTCACTCAAAAGAGGCAGACATCAATTCCAGGCTGGAGAATCCCACCAGCAGCGTTAGTCATGGGCTCTCTACAGTGAGCAGTTTGAGTAATGGGTTTGATAAGACAAGGAGGGTAGAGAGTCTGTGTGCTCCCAGAGAACTAAGGCCTCTAAGAACCCAGGGACCAGACACAAAGACCAGAGAATAAATTCATCCTTTCATCTCCTCTGTCTCTGTGCTTTGACAGTTCCTTTAATTTCCTTTTAATGTCTCAGTCTTGGTCCTTTTGAAAATTCTGACCCAGCTCTTCTATGCAGAATGGAAAGAGACAAGGAAAGGAAAGGACAGGAAGGTGGGAAAACAGGTTCCCTGGAAGAGAGGATGAAGGTAGCTGGTCTGTCTGGAAATCTGGCTGTGGCTATCACTAAGCTATCACACTTGGATATGGTGGATGGTTGGAGTGGCTGCTGTTGGTTTATTTCCATGCAAGATGGCCCCTTACTTCATCTCCTGGCATCATGGGAATCCTTGCCTGGTACCTTGCTGAAATGCACACCCAGACTGTGTGGGCCCCCAGGCTGACAAGCTTTGACCTTTTCCAGCAGCCCTTGGCAAGGGTTCCTTTAAGCAGCTCACCTGGTTCCTTGGTATCAAGCCCCTTAGTGCAACTTAGTACTGGACACAGATGAGAACACTGAGGCACAGAGAGGGACAGGAGCTACCTTGATCACACAGTGCCCTGGCTCTTGAGCTACCTCTAGATCCCCTATTGCCCTGTGTTACCATGAAGGGGGTCACAAGAAGAGGCAGTGCTTTTGCCTCTGCCCAAGTAATTGACAAGAGAAAGCTGCAGTAGGGTTGAGGGGAAGGACAGGGAAAAACAGTGTCTTCCTTCACAGGTGCCAGACAATGGAATTGTGGCCAGACAGCCATTTGCTAAATTTGGATCAGAGATTGTCTTCTGTTAACCCTTCCTGTGCCTAAGCATTTGGTGGGGGGGGGGGGGGGGGGGGGGGGGTGGCTGTTCTCTATTCCCATTCTCAAGAACACTAGAGCCCAGCTTCAGCTGTGCTAAGGAGGGAGAAGGGTTTTCCTTGGCTATGGCTGATCTCGGGGATCAGGGAATGGGTATAATGGCAATGGTGGTCAGCAACAGCCTGGACAGGTGACAACACACCTGGCATTCTATCTGCTTGCTCAACCCAAGGGTAAAGTTGCACAGGTTATAGGTCAGAAGAAAAGTGGCAGGAGGCAAAGGAAAAGCAGCCAGACAGCCACATGTGAGTAAGCTGCAGGCCACAGGAAGCAAGACCACAGAAGAGGGAGGCACCAAGCCAGAATAAAAGAAATCGGGAAATATGCCACATGGTCAAAGGTTTGTTGGTCATAGAGAAATCAAGCCTATAGGAGGGTGAAACCATATTTCAGAACAGACCAGCGTCACCTGTGATTCCGAAGGAAAGGGGCTGGGCTCCCATGGAAATCAGGCTGCGGGTCCCCAGAGCCTCCACACCCCTCCACACCCCCGGCACCCCCGCAGCGGGGTCCAGCCTCACTTGAGCTGCTGAGTGATGAGTTCCTCGTCGTTGAGGTAGCGCAGCCGCTCCTCCTCCACCAGGGTGCGCTGCCTCTGCAGCGGGTCCTCCTGCCGCCGAGCTGCCTCCGACACGCGCATGCTCAGCTCTGCCTCGGTGCGCTTCAGCAGCGTGCGCACCGACTCCTGGTTCTGGAGCTGCGGAACGCGAGGATGCACGTGTGGACCGGGTGGGAGGAGGACGAGGAGGAGCGTCGCAGGGGAAGGGCTGGCAGAGGGCAGACTCCGCAGACCACGCGGTGGCTGCGAGCTGTCGCAAAGGCATGGCATGGTGGGAGTAAGGGCTGAGGACCAAGGGGGGGGAGGAAAGACTAGGGTGGGGAGGGACGAAGCCAGATCCCGAGGGGAGGATAGGGACCGTGGAGCGTACTGAGCTCTACTGGGCTTCACACAGGGTGCGGCGGAAGGGCTATGAGCAAGAGCAAATGGGTGGGATGGTAAATTCTGGAGTATAGGAGCAGGAGAACCGGATGAGAGTAAAGGGGGCAAAGGGTCACTCTAAATAGGGCCTTCACAGAGTGGAGTCCTGAATGGGGACGGGCCTGGGATGAGGGACTCAAGCGCTGAGGCTGATAGTTTCTGTGGCTGCGGCTGGAACTCAAAGTCCAGTTCCAAGCCCAAATGACTATGGTGGGCGAGAGTGGGCGAGATCTTACGGTGGCCCAGATGGCAGCTCCCTGCCCCCTCCCCAGCCTGTCTCTGCTCATTAGCCTCACCTAACAGGACCTGGGCCCCTCTCGAGGAGCAGACACAGTGATGCTAGGCTCCTGACAGGTGGGACCATCTGCCAGGCGGGGCGGGTCAGCCAGGCCCAGCTCAGGAAGGAGCAGTTGAGGGGACTTGGGGAAAAAGGGATGTGGAGCAGGAAGGAACTGGAACTGCCTCAAAGGATAGCGCATGGTGGAGGGTGGGCTGGGGCTACTTGAGGGTGATGAGGGCTAGGGCTCAGTGAGGAAGATGTGGGCGAAGGAACTGGGAGGAGGTTTAACTTGGAAGTAGGAACTAGAAGGGGAGGAAAAAGGGTTCGGAGGACTACAGAGCAGTGAGGAATTCCATGGAGTTCGCCGGGCGGTGGGTTGGTACAGTAGGGATTTGAGGCGGGGCTTGGAGGGCGGGAACTGCAGCGGGGAGTAGGTGGAGATTGGGAGATGCTGGAGAGGAGCCTTACCTGGAGCTTGCGCAGCTGCTGGAGCTGGCTGCGCAGGTCGCTGGCGCTGTTCTGCAGTCCCCGCAGGTGCAACTGCATTTGCAGACGGCTGACTGCAGTGGGCTGCCCTGCAGGGGTGCTGCCTGCCGAGGGTGGAGGAGGGCCAGACACCGGAGTGGCCCCGCTGCTCCGGCTGCCTGACCCACACGCTGCTGCTGAGAGGGACCAGGAGGATGAGAGATGAAGGAAGAGGGCAAAAAGTGAGAGGGACTGGGACACTAACTTCCCCACTCCTAATCTCACATGCCAGCCAGAAAGGCACATGGTTATGACTGCCTACCCTAAGTGGTGGTGAGCCCTAACAGGAGGGGCCATCGCACCTGGGCTAAGGTGACTACTCATTGACCTGTTGAAAACCCAGTGATGTAGCTATTTGAGCCCTACTTTAAGGATTAGGAAACTGAGACTTAGAGAGAGAAAGGGAAGGACCACTCACGTGCTGAGGGAGTGGCTGCTCCATTGGAGCCTTCAATCTTCTCACTGTATTTGAGGGAAAAGATGGTCATCAGGGGCCTGGGCTGGCTCCACATCATCAAAACTGGGCCTTAGATGTCACCCCCAGCTTCCTGATCTTAGGCTAGAGCCACAGAGAAGGGGGACACTCAGAGTCACACAGAATGAGACCCAGGTGAAACTGAGCCCAGGGATTCTAATTTTGCTCACAGTTCTTCCTGCCTCAAGCCCAGGCCCTGACAATCCTGTTAGGAGAGTGGGCTCACCTTGGAGTCTCCGGCTCTGAGCCTCTCAGTAGGGCACTCTGCACCAGCCCTGTGAGGCTGGCAATCTGCTTCTCCATGGCCTCCATGCGCTCCCTGGAAAGAAAGGTAGCTCTGAGCAAGCCCTTCTATGACCATGTGGTCCCTCCTACCCAGTTCCCTCCCCCCATTCCTAAGATTAGCAACCTAATTCCTAAGGTTAGATTAGAGGAAACACTAGTCTGTCCTTGGACTTTGAGATCAGACTCAAAGCCAAGGACCAAACCCACAGCCCTCCGTTGCACCTCTCACAGATGCCTATACTTGCCTGCAATCCCAGTAATCAGGAGGCTGAGACAGGAGGATTGCTGAGTTTTTAAGGCTAGCCTGGGTTACATAGCAAAACTCTGTCTCAAAAAAAACAAAACACAAAAAACCAGTCATCTCCCACTCCTACCCAAGTGGACTTCAGCTGGCCGTGTGCTGGACAGCTCTCCGTGCTAGCAGGGCACTGAGAAGGCTGCGCCAGCGCATCCAAATTACTGCGGGCGGGGGGGGGAGGGGTAGGGGGAGGAGAGGAAACTGAGGTTCGGGCAAAAAATGCAAACCCAGGTCTCTTGAGTCCTGACCTGGGGCTTCACCCATCCCTCCCACGTCTTCCCAGCCACATCAAGATGCTCTGACCACCCCTGCGGCCCCAGAGATCCGGCCACCCTCTGCGGTTCTTCCTCCCTGTGCCCTTCCGCCGTCTCCTTCCTCCCCTCACCATGCCAGCGTTCCTCACCTGGTCTCTGTGTCCTTGGCTGGCACCGGTGGCCCGAACCCCACGAGGGAGCGCTCCCCAGGCCCGGGGAAGAGATCGGAAGGCGGCGCTCCGGCCGTCGAGGCGCTCCCAGTGCTGCGGGTCTTGCCTCCAGGACTCTCGACGAAGACCGACGAAGAGCCCGAGTCTTTGCGGAAGGACTGGCGCACCGGCGAGCCGCGGCTGGGCGGCCCGGAGTAGGGACTGTGCGGCGGCGGGGGTCCCCCGGAGGAAGCCGACACGTCTGCCAGCTTCTGCGGCGACGAGGGCGGCAGGCGGAAGCCGTAGCCGTCCCCGTAGAGCGGGCCTCCAGCGCCCGCAGCCTTGTACAGCGAGTCCTCCAGGTCCGACTGCAGCGCCGCGGCCGAGTAGGTGCTCAGCGAGCGCACCGAGCCGCGCTTGTACAAGCCGCCCGCGCCCGGGTAGGCGAACGGGTCTCCGGCCGCCGCCGCCAGACTCAGCCGGCCCTCGTGCAGCAGCCCATAGGGATCGGCGTAGAGGCCCTCGCCTTTCACCAGCACCATGCCACCCGCCTTGCCCGCCAGGTCCTCGTCTGGCTTCACGTCACGCCGCTCCAGGATGGCGCTGGGACTCGGGCTGACGCCCTGGGCCGCCGGGGCGCCTCCCAGCCGCTCCGCCGCGTGGTGCACAGGGCTGCCGGCGTACGAGGGCGGGCGTCCCCCGGCGTAGGAGAGGCGAGAGCGAGAGGGCGAGCCCGATGGCAGCCCCGACGGCAACCCCGACGGCAGCCCCGGCGGCGGCGAGCTAGATGCCAAATGCGATGCGGGCGACAAGTTGTTGAGGCGCCGCGTGGGCGACGACTCCCGAGACGCGTACACCATCTCTCTCTGCACAGAAGATAGCCCAGGAACCCCATGGAACTGGTGACACAGGGGACCTCTTTCCCCTTCTAGAGGAGCCAGCAGCTCACCCCTCCCCCAACCATCCCTATTGTTCTGGATCTGAGCTCCCCTCTTCTATTGCATCTTGGGTAACATCAGTACTCCCAGCATGGGGGAAAGTGGCAGATGGGCACTTGAGAACGGCAACCCTCGACCCATGCCATGGTAGGGATGAGAAAGGAAAGAGAAAAGGGTGCCTGTGAGAGGCCTCACAGTCCTACAGGGTCCTTGGAGAAATCCTAAGTGGACAGAGGGGAAGGTAGTTGGTGAGGGGTGGGCGGTGCCTCCATAACCCCACAATTAACTAGCGGACTCTGTCTCAGCCTCCAAGTTTCCATCTCCAAAGTTGCCCTGGCTCCACACACTGCCTGTCTAGACTCCACCCACCCAGCCTCCCCAGTGCTTTGGGTGTCTCCACCATACCCGGAGATCACCGTTGGTAAGGTGTGAGCCAGGGAAAGCAGCATACAGTGGCTCCTTTCTATAGATCTTGATAATACTGCGGTCTTGGATGTCTCTGCCAGGTAGGGAGAGAAGCAGAGGCTCACCATGTGTCCCCCAGTGGGGCCCAATGAAGGGGCCCAGACATCCAGCCCTTTCACAAGTCATATGTTCAGTGTCTCCCTGGTGCCTTGGAGTGCCTACCACTGGCAAGCAAGCACACCACGCCGCGACAAACACGAGAGAGAGAGAGAGAGAGAGAGAGAGAGAGAGAGAGAGAGAGAAGAGAGAGAGAGAGAGAGAGAGAGAGAGAGAGAGAGAGAGAGAGAGAGAGAGAGACTCCACCTGTCCATTTCCTCAGCCTCAGGAGAATCAGCAGGAGTGGATAACTTAGCAGAGAGAGGGCGGGGCGCTAGGGCTGGGGGGTGGGGGAGGCAAAGGGCGGAGAGCGGATGCAAATCATTCTGGGGAAGGGCCTCCAGGGTCCAGCACCCTTCAGGGAGTATGGGGAAGCCCACCCCCACACTCCAGCCCCCCGGTGCCGCGCCCACCGGACGTCCTCCAGCTCGTAGAAGACGTTGCGAGCTTCATCTTTGATGAGTATGGCGGTGTTGGGCGACTTAAGCATGCCCATGGTGAGCTTCTGCGGGAACATGTGCGCGATGAGTGCATGCAGCGTATCCAGGCTGCTGACCTCATGCGTGATGTGCACGCGCCGCGTCTCCTCCCCGAACTGCAGGAACAGCACCCCTGCGAAGGAGACGCCGCCCTCAAGATCACTACCTCCGCCACCCCACTGCCGCCGCTGCCGGCCTCCAGAACGAGGTGAGCCTTCCGGAGCCGCATCGGTTCCGCAACGGCAGGGTCTGAGGCCCGAGGCTGCCCCTGAGTGCAAGTGCACCCATGCGCTCTTCATGCGGCTGGCTGGGGCGCCAGGCCGGGGTCCACCTCTCAAAGCACTCACGGGACTCCAGGCAGCTGGAGCCTGGACACTGGAATGGGACTGTGGGGAAGAAACTGGGGGAAAGTGGGGAAAGATGGGGAGGCTGGAAAGAGAAAAAAGAAGCGGAGTAGAGAAAGAGAAAGGGTTGGATGAGAAAGGACCTTGGGAGAGCGGAAGGACCAGCAGGGGATGCTAAGGTCGAGGGGTGGGGAAAAAGAACTGAGGACAGCCAGGCCCTAGGAGAGGGGACTCCTGCAAGAGGAGGGGTTGAATTGGAGGAGATAGAATAGGGAGGAGCGGGAAAAGCAGGAGGGAGGAGCCTGTGGCAGAGCCAGAGGATAGGCCAGCTGGGAGTACCTGGTGAGCGTAGCTTGGTCTGGCTGGCAGAGCGGGAGAGAGGCAAGCTCTGTCTGAAGCGGTTCATCCTGCTGAAGCCCAGGGGCAGCTCGGCCTCGGACATGGTCTCCAGCGACTCAGCCGAGGCGTAGGACAGCTTGGCTGCCTGGTCTGCCAGCCCTGGCTGGGCTCCCTGAGTGTGGCGCGAGCTGCGGGTCTGCAGGGGCAAGGCAGGGCGAGAGGCACCAAGCATGAGCCCCGCCCCCACCGCTTGCCCGGCCATTGCCTCCATCTGGGTCGGGGAGCTCCAGCCAGCCAGCAACACACACACACACACACACACACACACACACACACACACACACAGTCTCCTGGGATCCAGGCCTGCTGTGCAGCGGCAGGAAGGTTCCCCCACCTCTAGAAGGCCTTGGCTTCCCCAGGACACCCAGCTGGTAAGCAGTGGGCAAAGGACTCAGGCACCCTGCGAGGACAGGTAAGAAACCATCTGAGCTGGATCCTTGGGCACGCCTGCTATTTTAAGCTTCCAAGGAACAACAACACAAATTTGTCACTGAGGTGAGCAGCAGAATCGTTGAGCAAATTGGAGCATTAGTTCCAGACATTAATTAAGCGGCGGGTGTGTGAGCAGCGAATTTATTCTTCCTGGAGTTCAGCGGGCTGGGGGTGGGGGGACAGGGAGAAAGCAAAGCTTCCAGCATTGGGAAGCGTCAGTGTCCGGCCTCACAGAACTCACCCAGAGTCCTTGACGTACAGTAATTTGGAAGAATACCCCCAAACAACCCCTGAGCCAGCTGTGCCCCAATTGAAAGCAAACTGTACCCTCAGAGTACATGCAAAGCCAGATGTGATACACACAAGTACCCGGTTATTTGTTAGGCTCCTCCCCTTTCTGGGAGACATATGCAGCCACACAGTCTAGCAGGCTTCCCCCAGCCACCAGCATGACTTGATCCTTAAAACTATAGCTGAGGGTGGTCTCCAGCTGGGATAGGGAGGGGTGCTGCAGGTAGCTCAGTGAGGCCCTAGGTTCAATCCCCATTACAAGTAAATAAACAGACAAATAATAAATAAATAAATAAATAAATAAATAAATAAATAAATAAATAGAGGAGGAGAAAAGGACAGGACTGGGACTGTAGCTTAGCGGTAAGGAGTCATAAGACAGGCTGACTGCTGTCTCCTGAGAGGGAGGTGTCTTGCCTTATGAACTCAATTGTAATTTTAGAGCCTACTTTTGACTGTCACCCACGGCCACAGCCTCTACCATTCTACCCAAGTTCCTAAACCTGGCTACTATAAAGAAACTCAATCATTTAAATTATTTAAAGGGGTAAGATAATGAGTCAGACCTATACCATTCCATGTTACATGCATTATACATATGCATGTACGTTTACTACCCTGGAAAAAAACGTTGTCCAACTGTACTTTTCTGTAAAGTAATAGTCTATTTAGACAGCCAGGTGTGGTGGTACAAGCCTGTTATCCCAGCACACAGGAGCCTATGTTATAGGGTGGGACCTTATGAGAAAAGAAGTCCATTTTTAACAACAAATCACTCTATGCCCATCAACATCAGTAATCTCAGATCTGAGAAAGAGCTTTCTTTTTCTTTCTTTCTTTCTTTCTTTCTTTCTTTTTACTTTATTCCTCTCTATGAAATTGAATGAATTTTTAAACAATTGGAATATATTACCTGTACAATTAAGAATACAATAAAGGTGTCTCTTTCATTTACTTATTTTGTTTTGGTTTTTTGAGAGGAAACTTCACTATGTCGCCTAAGCTGACCTAACACTTGATATGTAGACCAGGTTGGCCTCAAACTTGTGTTGATCCTCCTGCGTCTGCCTCCCGAGTGCTGGGATTAGAGGCAAGCACCACCACACCTACCTAACAAACACATCTCTTAAAAGGAGTAATTTATTCTCCTGTTCAGTTTCCTTTTACCCCAAATCCTGATTAACTCCTAATTAATCTCCATCTTCCTATTAACTCAATTTAATGGTCCAATCTAATTAGCACTCTTGAAAAGAGAGAACATCTTCCAATAAGCAGTGTGCCCAGTTGTCCCCCAAGGTGGTCTTGAGACCTTAGGACTATGGAAAGTCAGACTTGGGGTCAACAAGGGGTTTCCAGTATCAAACTCAGTGCATTGACAGGTAGGGTGGGCATGGGTCCTAGAAAGGGGGAGACAGCATGGGAACTGGGCCCACTTGGGGGATCTTGTATCCAGACTTCAGACTATGGCTCAGCTCTAAGCTGACCATGAGTGGCAGCCTGTGCCCTCGTACCCTCAGCCCCAGGGAAGACACTACTGGGGAGCCCTTGCAGTAGTAGGGATCTTGGACAAGGCTGGTGGACATGGGGTTGCCAGGGAACTGAAAGGTCAGTGGTTGCCAGGTTTGGGTTGATGAAAGGCTACAGAATGAAGCAGAATCAAACAGCTGGTAGGATGAAGAGTATGGGGTGGCCACTGGGCCAGGATGGAGGTGCAAATGAGATGCCAGGAGAGAATGGGATGGACAGCATGAAGGGGGCAGAGGTCCTGCAGGTTGCCAACCACAAAAACAGGAATTCTGGGAGAAAAGATGGCTACATCCCCTCCTCTACCTGCCCCTGCCTCCATCCTACCCCCAAGGTCATCTTTCCCTTCTATCTGCCCTTGCAGAAAACTAAGGAGTAAGAAACCCCATTAATACTTCTCTCTGTCCCTCCCCAAACAGAGTAAAATTAGACATCTAGAAGGACTTCCCAGCCATTAGCAGGTGTGTCTAACTTTTTGACATGGCAATCCAAAGTCATCATCTACAAAGTTCACACCTAGGAACTGCACAATCAAGTTACAAAAACGTTCATGATTCTGTGTTGGGCTGCACTGATAGCTATCCTCAGCCACATGTGCCCTACAGGTCACAGGTTAGGCACACCTACTAGGGAGATGGCAAGAGAAGAAAACAAATTCAAGTAGAATTCTCCCAGGACAGAAAGAGCCTGTGGTGAAAGGCAGTGAGCAGCCACTGGAGCTGTTCCATGAAGGAGCCACCGAGGCCTGGCCAGAAGCCAGGGAGAAGAGGCTGGGGCTGGGATATTCAAACCAGTATAAGAGGCTCCCAATAGCTGTCTTCAGACCAGAACAGAAGTACCTGGAAGGTTTTATAAACTCTCTTTCCAGGACCCCACATTTACTGAATCAGAATCTCTGTGGGTAGAAGCTTGAAGCTCAAGCCTTCTTACAAGATCCTAAGGTGATTATGGCATCCAGGGGTTGGAATCAGGTCAACATCTATGACTCTGTTCCTAATGAGGTTAGCTACCAGCTGAGACTCTCTACAAGCAGACACAATGCCTTGGACATGCATTTTCTCATTTTTCCCATCTTCCAATAACTCTGAGTCAGGCCTGGTGATACATGCCTGTAATCCAGCTACTTGGGAGGCTGAGACAGGAGGAGCACAAATCCAAGACCTATGTGAGCTACAGAGTGTGTTCAAAGCAGCTTTGTGAGACTCTGTCTCAAAATAAAAAGTAAACAAAGACTGAAGATGTAGCTCAGCGGTAGAACACATGCTCAAGGCCCTGGGTTCAATCTCCTCTATGGGAGAACACAGCCATGATCTGAACATTGTTCCACTCTCCAGAGGAGAAAATAAGGCCCAGAGGATTGTAAGTTACTGCCAGGTCATTAAACTAGTTAGTAGCAGGTTAGAATTTTCCACCAGGCCATCAGGCCCTCATGCCCATGCATTAACCCTTTCCTTTCTCCCCCTGACCAGAGAGGTGGGTTTACAGGATACCAGATCCCATGTTACACTGAGTCAAAGGCTCACACACAGGATGCCTAGAAGTCTGGGTGGTAGCTTCCAACCCTTTCCAGGGGACACAGACCCCAAAAAACCAGCCACAACACAACTGTCTCACCCAGCTCTGTGACTGAGGGCTAGCCAAGTTGGTTGGACTACCTGAAGGCGCTCCCCCAGGAGCACCAGGATATCCTGGGAGCTGAGAGACAACACTTCAGTTCTCAATAATACAAACTCTACAGAGCAGGTAGGAGGCACCCGTCTCACCCTCCTCAAAGTGGACAAGTTTAAACAAACAGGGCCATCAGTGTGTTGCCTGACACTAACCAGCTCCTCAGTGATAGGGAATAAGAAAGGGAATCACAAGGCCTTCCTGTGAGGTGAAGTGTGAGTTCAGGAACAGCCCACAGTGAGCTCATGAGTCCAGATCCCTGTCTCTGTCAGTAGTCTCTCTAGGCTGTGAAGTGTCAGGAGATCTTCTCATTCCCCTGGTGGGCTGGAAACGCTTGGGATGGATCATCTCCAACCCAAACTTTGAGCAGAGGTGGTGAAATTCCCATTCTGGATCCACAAGCTCCTGGCAGGTGAACCCAGACTCTCCCCCAAGCAGCAGCCACAGCTGGCAGCACCAGGCCCACCGCCCGCAAAGGAGGGTGCGTGCAGACACACACCCTGGTGCAAAGCATGTGCAAGGCAGGGGCAGGGAGGGTAGGGTAGCACATGCAGTTGTCACAGAGGCAGAAGCATTGCACACTGACCTTGAAACTCCAGTAGTTTGGTTGCTGATGGAAATAAGAGAAGAGATGGTTACGAGGGAGCTGCCAGGGGGGCAGGACAGAGGCAGGTTAGAGGCCCTCCCTACTTAGTCCTGGGACATGGGTCTCCACCCTCTGGGGAACAGACACAAAGGAATGTCTGGTGCAACTCACACTCCTGCAACCTGAACACCCTGGCGCACCAAGGATGGGCAGGTTCTAGGTTTGCTGGTGAGGTAGGAAAGAACATCCCAGATGTTTCAAGTATCATTCTATCCATAGTAACTGCCCTCAGAGTTACAGGTAAGAAAAAGAACAGATGACCATAAGTCTGTCAAAAGTAGGAGGCAGGGACAGAGATAAATCTGGGTCATGGGGCTACAGAAATGGCACCTGATTGTAGGAGGCCAGAAAAAAATGTCCCAGGAGAGATGACATTCTTGCTGGGTGGTGAAAATGAGCAGCTGGAGATTGGGAAGAAAAGCGTTCCAAGCAGAAAGATGGTATGGGTAAGTACCCTGGAGCAGGCAGAGGGGAGTGTGAGGGAAAAGCCTCTAGTCCAGCTAGGTCAAAGTGTAGCCTGGGAAGGAGAAGGGAGTGAGGGGGCCAAGGGCTGAGGCCAGATGCTGGGCAGCCTTCCATGGGAGTAAAGTCTGCAGACAAAACTGAAGAAAACACCGGGATGGAGCAGAGTGGGAGGGAATGGGACCCCAGTAGGGATGAGGGCAGGGAGTAGAGGAGGGTGGCTGGGGCCAAGGCCAGGGCAGGCAGGCCTGTGTGCCAGAACGTGCCAGGATCGTAGAGAAGAGTGGATCAACATCAGTGGCCTCCTGGCATTAGGCAATGGATGGACAGCTGGGGGCTTGGGCAGTGCCTGGGACTACAGAGATGACAGAGGGGTCTATGGGGGCCTGAGGCCTCTCCTCACAGTAACCTGGGGTCACCCTGACCTCCCTAGAGGCCAGAAGGCCCTTCCAGATGGCTACTGACAAGGAACAGGCAGCCCCAAGGGCAGGCTGGTTCTTGGCAAAGCTTAGGGTACCCTGCTGACCGGTGCCAGCCTCTGCAGGAGGATAGAGGCAGCAGATGGCCTGGCCCCAGGGTGCCTGGCATGAGCAGACAAGATTCCCCAGGCTTCAGAGTCGCTGGCAGAGGAGAGAGACATTGAGGGTTCCTGCTGGGAGGACACCATGCTATGGTGCCCTGTGCCCCCTGGGTGGGGGGGGGGCAGGAAAAAGTTGGGAAAAGGCTAAGGAGAGCTACTGCTGGGAAGAGGCTTTACAGTAACAGTCCTTTGGGATGATGTCAAGCTGAGGTTGAGATATGGTTTATTTGCAACCCCCCCCCACACCTGATCCACAGCTCCCTCAGTGATGGCTCCAAAAGATGAAAAACAGTGACATTTCAGACAGGAGAAGGGGTCAGCAAACCTTGTATGGACATAGGATGCCCATGGGGTACCAGGGATGCCCACAGGTGCCAAAGAAAGGGGCAAAGGTAATAGACTTGAGCCACAGCTTTTGTGACCTTGGATGGAAGGGGAAGCAAAGGGAGTGGACTCATAGTGGGCAGCACAGCCAGGCTAAGGACATGGGAAGGTTTATGTTGAGAATCATGTCTGCAGACCCAGAGTGATGGACAACTCTGTAGAGGAGGTTCTCATCCACCTCCACACTAGAGTGGGCACAGAGGCCATCCTGCACAGAGGTGGCAGACTCTCAGACACATCCTTGGGTAGACAAGGCTGCCACAAACACACTCAGAACAATAAACACTCCCATTAAGGTACTTAAGAGAGAGGCCATGAGAAATGGCCCCAGGAGCATACAGTAACTCGGAAATGTCCACATGAAGACCACCCCATTCAGACTCATCTGTACCCCAGAGACCAGTCACACCCATTCTCATCCCCCTACAAAAACAACTCACAGAACAATACATATGGGCCAACGAGATGGCTCAATGGGTAAAGGTGCCTCTGCCAAGCCTGACAACTTTAATTTGATCCCTGGAGCCTACATGGTAGGAGGAGAGAACAGGCTTCCCCAAGTTGTCCTCTGACCTCCACACATGGATCATGGCACACATACGCCTGCACACATATGCCTGCACACATACACACACTGAATAAATAAATGTTAAAAAATAAATAAATAAAGCAGTACACACCCATAGCCTCAAAGAAAACAGCTTCCCTGCTTTCTTCTACTAGCTGGGTTAGGGCACCCGTAGCCCTCAGCCACTGTCCCATGCCTATGATGGCCCCATCATCGTATCAAGGAGGTGATTTCCTAAATCAAAAGAGGCAAAAGATATCCCACCCCCACTTCTGCTACCAGTCTCAGCACAGGGGACTTGGGATGCCTGGTGGAGATGACAGGGACCCTCTTGTTGTTCCTGGGAGACAGGTGAGACCTGGCTACAGACACAGTAGTTATGCCCTCATGGTGGGTCCCAAGCCTGAGCACACCTACAGGGCAATCACCTGACAGACTCAGGTCACAAATAGGTGCAAAGGAGATCACAGAGTGGCACTAGTGTCTAGGAAAGGTCATCCTAGCTCCAGGAAGGGTATGGATGGAAGAGAGGCGCTCCGAATATTCGAGGATCCTTTCAACTGGCCCCAGCAGGAACCAGGCACATGGTCTCCAGGCAACTTGCTATCCTTGGAGGGGAAAATTGCAGTGGGGAGAAACCTCTGGGGAGACCCACCATCCTCCCTCCTTCCAGGTGTTAACCCATGGGACAGTCCTGTAATAGAGAAGAGAGGATCCTCCCTGTTCTCCAAGGGACAGGGGCGCATGGACAGACAAGGGACACGGACGGACACACACACACACACACACACACACACACACACACACACGCGCACACACACGCACACACACACACACACACACACACACACACACACACACAGCTTCCTGGTTGCCGGTTCCTCAACCTGTGCCCAACACAGTGCTTGGTATGTAGCATGCTCTCAACAAAGTGGCAATGAAAGAATGCCAACCAACTAAACAAGCCAGGCCAGGCCAGGCCCGCAGGGAGCGGACAGCTCTAAATACTAGGCCTGGCCCGACTCCCTCCACCTTCATCTCCACCTCTTGGCACCACTCTTCTGGGCCTTTTCTCTGGGAATGTCCAGCTCCCGAAAGTCCCTGGAAAGAGGGCAGGGGCGGGAGGAGTCCAGGAGCCCTCTGGGTCTCCACCCTTAACAAAATCCTCAAATCTGGGACCAAGCCATTTATCTCTGAGTATGGGAGTAGGATAGCCCATCCGTGAGCTCTGGGAGAACGCGGAAAGAAGCTGATCAGGAGAGACTCTGCCAGGGTCCGCTGCAGGAGCTGGGACAAATGGGAGTTGCTAAGAGCGTCAGGGAAGCCAACCAGCCCTCACAACAAGGCTTTCAGCTATGGGGGAGGGGACTTCCCCGGGGACCCAAGGAAGCAAACTAACTCCCGGGTGAGCAGAGGAAACCGCCTTTTCCCCCATGGGTTGAGTAGCTAACGTCCATGGCTCCCTACCGCTCCCGTAGTTAGTCTTGTGGTTCCTCCCTCCTCCTGGAGCTGGCTCTCCTCCCCGCTACACTCAAACCCGGGAGCCAGCCCCTCCGGAGCTTTACCCCTCCCAGCTGAGGTCCCTCTCCTCCCTTGGGCAGATATCGCTGGTAGGCCAGGTGACTGCGTGACCCCTCCGTGACCTCAAGCCCCCAGCGAGCATCCTACCCCCGAGGAACGGAAGTCAAACGGATCATAGCCCCCCTCCTTCATCCCCTGACTTGGCGTACCCCGGCGCACACACCCACCTCTCAACTCCGGTGAACCCCAGTCCTCATAAACACCCGCCCCCAGCCCGGGTCCGCGCCACGCGCCCTCCCCACGCCAGCTTGCCACCTCCACGACGCGCACGGCCCTCCCCCAGGGGTGCACAGCGACACCCGCAGCTCCCAACCCTGCGGAGGACTAGTATGCGGGGAGGGGGTGCGCTGCGGGAGCCCCGTGGCTCCGGCACTAGGCAGCACCCTGGGAAGGTCATGACTTTCTAAGGCTGGGGGAGGGGGCGCCTGCCGCATTTGGGGGTGGGGGCCGGCCCACGTGGAAAGCACCTGCTGCGGTGGGGAAAGGGAGAGGGCGTTTCTCAGAGATAGGGAACCCGCCGCGGCCCCGCGACCCGCACCCCTAGGCGCGAGGGCCGTAGATTGGGATCCCATCTCCGGGTCCCCGCCCCCCGTAGCCGCTCCCCCTTACCGCGGCCACAGGTGCACGCGCTGGGCCCAGGCCCGCGTCCGACGGAGTGGGGGAGGGCGGCCCGCTACGCCCACCCGCACGGGCTCGCCCCTCCCCCGGCCGCCTCTGGTGCCCTTTGCTGCAGTGCTAGGGCCGCCGCCGCCGCCGCCGCCGAACCTGCCCGGGCCCCGGTCGCCCCGGTAACCGCGACTCCACCTGGCGCGCCGCGCAACACCACCGTGCACATCCCCTCTCTCGCCCCCCTCCCCCGGCGCGGTCCCGCCGGCGCAGCCCCGCCGCGGAGCGGCGGAGACTGGTGGCTGCGTCGCCGCGGTCACCCGATATGCCGGCCCGCCGCCCGGGACTCGGGTTGCAGCAGGAGGGAGGGAGGTTAGACAGCCTAGTGGAAGCGGGGGAGGGGCTGTGGCTTGGTCTAACCTCTGGTCCCTTCCCAAGATCCTCTTCACTGCCCCCACCCCCAAAGGTCTGAGTTACCACCACCTTCCCAACCCACAGGCTCGCTTCACCAGGGTCTCAGCGGCGCCCCCTTTGCCCCTTTCATCTTTCCTCGACTTAATCCATTGAATCTGGGAAGCCTAAAGATACTTAAGTTTCTCTGATGGTCCCTGATCCTGCCTTGCTGTGTGATTGTGGCCTTTACTGGATGTCTCCATCCCTGAGCTTTGCAAAAAGGAACCTCGGATGTATCCCTGGGGAGGGGGAGAGTGGTGTGGTAAGCGCTAAGTATCAAGAGATGACAAGATCGTGGGTACAGCAGTCTGGGGTTATTAGAAAGCCCTGGGGCAAAGGTCCTCACAAGCTCTCCCTCCTCCACCAGAGGAGATGCCAGTCATATAGACCTGAACTCCACCATGGGGCACCACTGAGTCCAGCCTCACTCCTGCCCTTCACCCCAGCCCTATCCCCTGACCCAACACTCTATCTGGACACCTCGGGAGGACTCAGGGCACTGGCCTACCCATCCTGTACCTGTCCTCTGTCTCATCCTAATCCCACTGTCTCCATCAAACATGGCCACTCAGGACAAGTCTGTCCCACCTGTCATCCAGCCTTGGGAACAAACATATCCCCTGCTGCCCAAGTTCAGCTAAAATGGGGCTAAGAGTGGGAAAGAAAGTGGCTCCATGCCCTGTGAATGATGCCCAGTGTGCCAAGCTGTTTCTAGACTTGAGTTCATCCTAGCCTAGATGCCCCAGTTCTGGAAGCTTCTCATTTCCTAGCTGGTCACAATCCTTTCATTTCATTTTCCTTCAAAAAGTCAAGCTTTGCCACACTTATGAACTGGACCTCTTCTGCTCAATGAATTTGGCAGCCACTGCCTTCTCCCACCTCCTGTGTTGACCATCAAGTTGAAACTCCCTGGCTTTAAATTTGACTTCTGGTCCCTCGGTGGCCTCTAGAGCCCATTATTTCTCCCCTGGCAATGTCCAGGCTTGTGAGTCCCTATCTATGCTGAAATACATCTTCCCCATCAGGAAAAATGGGGCTTGGTGAGGAACTGAGAATCAAGCTCAGAAGCAATGGCTAGATGCCCAAGTTCTTTTTAAAAACTTCAAGAAGGGTAAGAGAGACACCACGCAGAACTTCCTGGTGGTGAGACAGGGGAAGGCAGGTTCTTCTCAGGAAATTGGGGTATAGATAGGGCATAAGATGATCTCTAGTGCAGGTGAGAATGAGAGGTTCTCAAGAACCCCAAGAACAAGATTATGTGTTTCTGTTTCAAGGAGAGAGATAACTGGCTTTGTTTGCTTGCTTGCTTTTAAATCATGACTACCAACATCCCTGAAAAAAAGTTCCAGCTAGATTTGGAAAGGCAATGGTAAGGAATCGGTCAGGGGAGATGTGGGGTACAGGGCATGGAAATGTCCTGAAAATGGAGGGCTCCTACATAAAAGAGAAAGGGGTACAAAATAAAAATCCTTAATATCCCCCCCTCCAAAAAATAAGCCTCCCCAAAGCCAAGCTCCATCATGAATTTGGGGTGGAGATGGGTGGCTCACCTGGGTGGGCTGGCCAGCCCCGGAGGGGGCAGAGTCGCTGTGGAGGTGGGAGCAGAGGGAGCTGAGGAGGCACACAGGGTCCACGGTCCAGCCGCCGACCTGTGTGTGTGAAGCAAGGGACACCCCATTAGGGGGAACGGACAGGAGCCGCTGGGGATGGGACAGGAAAGGATGGGTGATCCTGGGGCAAGCCTTGGCAAGGGGCAGAGGGGCAGTGGGGCAGAGGGGCAGAGGGGCAGTGGGGCAGAGGGGTGTTGGTTCCCTCGCAGTGTCTGGCCCTCTAACAAGGGCCCCCAGTCTGTCTGCATGTCTGTCTCCTTAGACAGGGCAGGGCTTTTCAGAACCCTGATTTCCAGTTCTTGACTCTTTGAGCACTTGTCTTCTCGGTCCTCCTCAAGGAGATCCCCTCTGACCTCACAGAGATGGGGACCACTGGGCAGTAGTGACCTCATCTCTATTGTCTCTGCCACCTCCATGAAAGCCACTTCCTTCTCCTATGCCAAGGCTCCCAGATTTGATCCTCCAAGATTGTCCCACTCTGCCCTGCCCTCAGAAACTACTCTCGTCAATCATTTCTCTTCCAAATTTTTACCTAACTTCGCACCATTGCTGCACCAAATTTGGGCTCTCTGCCCAAATGAAAGCCCTCTGAGTCCTGCCATTGAGCCTTTAAGGGAGGGGATGGTAGAGACAAGACAGAAGAAAGGAATGAACTTAAACAGGACAGGCCTTTGATTCACTCTGGATGTGTTTGCTAAGTACCTACTGAGTGTTTACCAGCCTGCTCCTACCAATGCACATGCCAGCACATAAATGTTCCATGTCAGGCTTGGCATCCCTTGAAGCTGTCACCTGGCTAGTCTCATCTTTTTGTCACTAACTCTCCAGACACGTGTGTGGCCAGGGTGCCCAGTTCCTCAGCACCCCTAGTCTCCATAGCCCTGCCTGGACCCCTGCCAGGATCCATCTGGAATTCTGAGTGCAGGTACCCACTAACCCGCAGCCCCCTCCCTGACCATCACATTTTACCTTCATGGTCCTCTCATGTCCCACTTCCAATTATGTCTCGGGGCTCCTGAATCCATGGTCCCTCTGGAGTCCAGAACTGTACATACTGTTTCCACTCAGTGTCTTGGGAACCCCCCTAACTTCTCATCCCACCCCTATGATTCCCACCTACTTCTGTTTTTTTGTTTTTAACCAGGAACCAACATCTCTCCATCAGCCAGGATTTTGTTTTTGATTATTTTTAGAGATAGGGTCTCGTGTAGCCCAGGCTGGCCTCTAACTCACTATGCAGCTAAGGATGACCTTGAACTTCTGATTCTCTTGCCTCTACCTCTAGAGTGCTGGGATTACAGGTATGCACCACAACACCTAGTTTGTGTAGTACTGAGATTCAAACCCAGAGCCTCCTGCATACCAGGCCAACATTCTACCTAGTGAACTACATCACCAGTCCCTAGCCAGTTTTTTTTTTCTGTCATTCCCTTTATAAATAGATCCAGACAGCCCTTGCTTAGTCTCTTCTCCCACCCTGTCCAAGGACCACTTTCCTTCCTCTCCTCCTTTCCCAGACCCAGCTTCAATTCACCATCCAAAACAAACACACCCTTTTAGGTCTCCACCTACCCACCCCACTTTTAGAAAAAAAAATTCTTAATTTATGTGTATAACTGTTTTGCCTGTATGTAATCACACCTATGCATGCAATGCCCGCAGAGGCCAGAAGAGGGCGTTGGATCCCCTGGAACAGGCGTTACAGATGGGTGTTAGCTGCCATGTGGATGCTGGGTCTTCTGCAAGAGAAGTCACTGCTCTTAACCACTAAGTCTTTTCTCTAGACCCCTGCCATCCCACTTTGTTAGCCTGGCCCCACATGTTTAACTGCCAACCCCACAGTCTAAGGTACCAGCCAGGAGACCTCTCTGCCACTCCCCACATAAACTCAAGCCCAGGATGGTAATGTTTCCCCTGTACCTGCTGGTATAGCACTCAGTTCCTCTGTGTATTCAAACCCTTTCACCCTATTAGGTTTCATATAGGTATCTCCTCCTCCAGGCAGTCTCCCTTGATCAGCCCTGCTGCTAAGTCCATTCCCAACTGACTGGGCCCCTCACACAAAGTTTAATCATCCTTTTCCCCAGTTAAGGGGGCCAGGGACACAAGCAAATAAAAATTCTTCCTCATCCTCACTGTCCTGGACTCTGCTCCCAGGAGTACTCTGGAACTGTGGAAAGGCAAAAGTCAGACAGAACTAGAAAAGAATCAGGGGTGGCAGGGTTCCAGAAACATGCCATTGTGTCCTCAACCTCTGAAATGGGGTGAACATGTTCCTCCCCATCCCCAGCCACACCCACCAATACCTGGGAAAGAAAGCAGGGCCTGACATCCCAGGGTCTAACTGAAAAGATACTGATGAGTGGACCATCATCCTACTGAGGACAATGTCTGGGTCCCCAGAGCCAGGATGCAGCAGTCATCATGGCCCTTTGCCAATGAAGGGCTGAACACAGAATACTAGTCCCAAGAGAAAGAACTTAGAGAGAAGCTGGTGCATGGGTAGAGAGGGTCATTAAGAGCCTGGGCTGGGGGAGGCTGAGAAGGGAAGCATCTCACCCTATGCAGGTCCTGGTCCAGAGGCAGAGGCCCCAGACCTTCTCTAAGTCTTACTGATGACAGGAGAGAACCAAGGCATACAGAGGCCTCCAGCTCAGTCACACAGCCAGTTTGGGTTACAAAGAAGGTAACAGCCCCAGCTCTGGGTTCTGTTCAGGCTAGAACTGGGGATGCAGTGTGCAGAGTCTCCCAAGCTGACAGAGGTGCCAAGACCAAGCACCTCAACTCTCCCATTGGGGGTACCCTCAGGCTCAGTCTCTTCTCAAAGTTTCCCCTTCCCTTCTTCCCAGTCACTCCTTTGTCGTCCAAGACAGTCTTCCAGCCCTTCTTCCCACACTGCCCAAACCCATGCTCTAGAATGCCCGCCAGTTAGCAGGGATCTGGAGGCTGAGCTTTACTCCTTTCTTCCCCAGGCTCCAGAAAAGACCAGGGCCCTGGTGACAAAGCTTCCCAACTCAACTCCAGGTTTCCAGCTCTGCCCCAGAACCAAGGAGCACTGGATGGGCCCTACGGATCCCCAATCCCTGCAGCCCCTGCCCCTCACACTCAGGCGCTTGCACTCACCTGCTCCCGCATCCGGTCCTGTTGGCCTCGCAGGGCCAGGGCGTGCTGGGGGTACTTGCTCTTCAGGTGGTCCATGAACGCATCACGCTTGCGGTCCGCATCTGCCTTCTGGAGCCCGCTGAGCGCCTCCAGGCTCTGGGCAGCGATCACAGTGTGCCGCCTCTCAGATGTGTGCACCAGCCCCACGTTGGAGAAGCGCCGGCCCCCGCTGCCCCCGCTGCCCCCGCCCCCCAGGGTCCGGTACTCCCTCGGGTACTCGGCATCGTCGGCAGACAGCATGGGAGGGCTGCTCCGCTCCGGATCTGCAAGAAGGGAGAGGGGCTGGGGTCATCCAGGCGTCAGGCCTGGGGCTGCCCATCTTCCACAAGGGTCCCTGCAGGGCGAGACGGGGAGGGGCAGGGCCTGTTGGGTTGGGCCAGAGAGGCCTCTGAAACATGCAAGGGGGCTAAAGAGTCTATGAGGTGGACAGTGAACAGACAGGCCCAAGTGGTGGATGTGGAGCAGGGCCTAGATGCAGCTTGCTCCTTTGGTGAACTTTGGAGCAATATGACTGCAGATTCAGGGGGTAGGGGGTGAGGGGTGGAGGGTGGGGGAGGACTATAGCAAGGTGCCTTGGTCACCTCTAACGACACACTCCTTCCCCTTCCTAAAGCTGAGGTGCCTTTTAAATGATTCCTGACATATGGGGAAAGGAGTTGCACTGGGTTCTAGAGCATTCTAAAAGGAGAGACTGGGGCCATGGGCTCCTGAGACCAGCACATCCAGGACAGGCTCCTGGAGCTGGGGAACATCTAGGAGAGGGGCCTGGGGAATCATGGGAGCCAGGGAGAATGAGGGCAAAGATCACTTTCAGGGCTTCTTCCCAGGGGAGCTGGAGGCCCAAAGTCTGGGGTAGAGAAACTTCCTTTCCCTCCCTCCCCAGAGACAGACAGACAGACGGACAGGAGAGGCTAGGCACAGAGAGTACAGTGAGAGATGGATTGGGACAAACTTAAAGGAGAAAGCAAGCAGACAGAACAGGTCAAGCTTCCTTTCTGCTCCCCTTCCCCTCTCCTTCTTCAAGCTCTTCTCCCAGCACATAGGCAAGCTTGGGATCCACAGAGACACACAGAGGACAAAGGACAGTACAGAAGCAGGAAAAAAAGAGAAGGCTGGGGGTGAAGTCTCCACACAAACTCTAACTCCTCTTCCTAAGTCCTCCAGCCACCTCCTCTGGCTCCCACCCTCCCCAGCCTAGCCCCATAGTTTCCCACCCTCACCCCTGAGGAAGAGGAGCTCTGCTGGGTGTCCTCTTTAGCCATGTTCCTGGGCAAGAAACACCCGAATCCCCGCAAGAAGTCACCCCATTGGGAGACAGCAGTCTCCATACATACCCTTACATACCCTCATACCCTTAAGAGTGGTACCTCTTAAGTATGGTCTAAAGAGAGTCTAAAACTGGGGTATCAGCACTCGGTCCCCCAAGCCAGGGCTACGCTCACATCAGCACTGCCCCACTCTGGAGCTCCTTGAAGATCAGATAGGGCAAAAGGAGACAAGGCTGGGACTCCTGAGACTCAGTCAGGTTCATGAGAACCCTCCTCCCTCCATACTGCCACTGTTTACCAGGGCTGCTGCCAGGCTGCACCCACTCCTACCCAACCACAGGAGGAAAGGAGAGATTCAGCTGTATTTCAAAACTAACCACCTGACCACCACACACACACACACACACACACACACACACACACACACACACATACAACACACTCTTCTGGGCATGTGCATCTAGGTACACAGCAGCAGAGGACCTAGCATCTCTCACTAAACCACAAGGAAAACAGCTCCCATAGGAGCTGAAGTCAGCAGCTCACCAGGGTCTCTCCACCATCACCAAGGCTCGAGAACCCTCAGCACTCCTGTCTGGCAGGTGTTATCATGGTCCCCATTTCAAAGATGGCTACCAAGAAGCTGGAGCCCAACAACAACAATGGGAGGGGCCCCAATATCTGTTGGGTTTGCATGCCCCACCTTCCCAGATAGATGATAGTTGTTTACTGAGTAGCTGAGCATGGTGCATATGACACATCGTGCAGACTTCCTTCTCTACCCTCCATTCTCCCAATCATGTGACCCCACTGGGTCACCGTCTCCATCCGTCCCCCCAAACACCCTTCATCCCTTCCACCACAGTCAAAGTCCTCTGTGACTTCTCACAGACACAGTGGTGAATTTGGGAAAAACATTACTTTATATCTATATCTATCTACACGTGTGTATGCGCACAATGCATAGAAAACATATTGGGGCTAGAGAGATGATTTAGTTGTTAAGAGCATGGGCTGCTCTTGCAGAGACCTGTATTAGGTTCCCAACACATAATGAGATGCCTTCTTCTGGCCTCCGAGGGCATTGCATGACTTGAGTATAGCTGGATACATGCAGGTAAAACACTCATATACATAAAAAATAAATAAATAGGGGCTGGAGAGATGACTCAGCAGTTAAGAACACTGGTTGTTCTTGCAGAAGACCTGGGTTCGAATCCCAACACCCACATGGCAGCTAACAACTGTCCATAACTCTAGTTCCAGGGGATCCAATGGCCTCTTCTGTCCGTGGGTATTGCATGAAACTGGTGCACTTACCTACATGCAGGCAATACACTCATACACATAAAATAAAAATAATAAGGGGCCAGGCATGGTGGCACATACCTTTAATCCTAGCACTTAGGAGGCAGAGGCAGGCGGATCTTTGTGAATCTGAGGTCAGTCTGGTCTACATAGTGAGTTCCAGGACAGCTGGAGCTAAGGGAGACCCTGTTTCAAAAGGACAAAATAATAATAATAATAATAATAATTTTAAAATAATTACACCTTCATTTTCATAAGGATTAAAACAAATATGAAGGAGGAAGTCAATCACTGGTTTCATGGATATTATTCTTTGGAGTGGGAATGAGATAAAGGGTTCTTCTTAAGTACACATAGTCAAGTTCAAAGTGAAGTTGAGTTAATAGAAGCCATGTGGAGCTGATTCAGTGCACACAATTCCCGACTACAGGAGAAACTGGGGTAGAAGGCTGAGTGAGGGTAGGAACACCAGGGCCATCTTCCTGACAGTCCCTGACCTGGAGGAGTTGGTGACAGTCCAGAGTGGCTGACTGGATGACACACAAAGGAATAAGCGGAGGATGCTCTGGGTACTTGTGGATACAGACCTTGACTCCCTTCCCCCTCCATTCACCCTAACAGCTGGTGGGCCTCTCTGTACTGAGGATAGCTGAGCAGGGGGATAACCTCCATGGCCAAGGGTGCTAGGTACTCTGGAGTCCTCCCTCTGACCAGGCTGTGCATGTTCTACCATGGCCTTGCTGCTGGATCCAGCTCTGAGCCCTGGTAACCTCCCAGACTGGGAAAGGTCTTCAAAACTCTATTTACCTGTGGCTTCCCTCTTGGCCCCAGAACAGCTCCCCTTCCACACCTGCCCCTCACACCAGTCTTCCCTCCTTACTTCTGGGAGGATGTCCCCATCTCTGGAATGGGGCAGTGTACCACCCTGAGACAAATGGAGACATGGAGGCTCCTGGGGGCCATCTCCCAGGTGATGATGGCAGAGAAGGGGAGGACAGAGTGTTAAAAACCAGCTGTACTTTAGGCCTATAGTCTCCTTAATCTCTCCTGATGGCAGTGAGGAGGGAACTGATGAGCAGGCTTGAGTGGGAGGAGAACAGGGACAAGCACCTTACTGCCTTCCGGAGATCAGGGCTCACTCCTCAGATGCCCAGGGCACTGGCGGAACAGAGAGAGGGGCAGTGGCCAGGAGAGGCTTGGGTCTGAAAGGCTCTAGAATTAGTTTAAGAACTTTGGAGATTCTAGCTGGGCATGGTGGCACACACCTGTAGTCTTGGAGGCAGGTGGATCTCTGTGAGTTCAAGGCCAGCCTGGTCGACATAGTGAGCTCCAGGCCAGCTGGGGCTACAGGGAGACCCTGTCTCAAAAAGACCAAAATAAATAAATAAATAAATAAATAAATAAATAAATAAATAAATAAATAAACAACAAACTTTGGAGATTCTAGATTAAATAAAGAAGAAAGCTGAGGCTCAGGGGGAGGATAAAGTAACCCAGGTATCCTGGCTTCCTGCTTGGTTCATAGCTAATGACTTTCTATAGGGCCAGGTGGAGCTAGGAGGACCAGCCTGCACTTCTAAATGGAGCCATCCTTGAGAGAGGGGGTTAGCCCAGGAATAACTAGATGCAATACCACACACCTCCCCTTTCTCTCTCTGAGACAGGGTCTCATGTTACCCAGGCTGGCCTCATACTCATTATGTAGCCAAGGATAACTTTGATCCTCCTGCCTTTACCTCCTGAGTGCTAGGATTACAAGTATGTGCTACAATGCCTGATTTAAGCAGTGCTGGAGATCGAACCCAGGGCTTCATGCATGCTAGCTAGGCAAGCACTCAGCCAGATGAGCTACATTCCTTCTAGTCCCTGGCCCTTATCTCTTAGAGCTCATGCTCCTGAAGTCAAGCTTGGTCAACTCACCCAGGGTTGAATCAGATCCTTCCCCAGAGACCCTAGGCTAGTACTCAGTTATTCATTTATCCAAGTAGCCCCTTTCCTGATGAGCCAGGAGTCTAATCTGTTAAAAAAAAAAAAAAAAGTGTGGGGTGGGTGTTAACTTCCAAACCCTGCTCCCAGGGGAGAAGCTGGGACCAAGAAGAAAGTACACTGCTTCCAGCGGGAGACAAGCCTGGGCTGAGGCTGTTGGCCTCTTCATTCTCCCCTCCCCCCACAGACAATTTCAGATACCAGCAAGTCCTCAAGCTGTCCTGACCCTCTCTGGACTGAGCAGCCTAGGAAAAAAAGCCAGGAGATCGATGGTTCCAGCAGGCTGGCAGCCGGTTCCAGGTTGGCTGGTGGCCAGATCAATGGCTGGGAAGCACTCAAGGATCCAGCTGTGTTCAGGCTGTGTGTGTGTGTGTGTCTCTGTGTGTGTGTGTCTATGTGTGTCTGTGTCTGTATCTCTGTGTCTGTGTGTCTGTGCATCTGTGTATGTGTCTGAGTGTCTGTGTGTGCTGGGGTGTGCAAGAGAAGAGATATGGGACTATGGGAGCCAGAGAGCTAAGGGAAAGTCTAGAGACCCTCTATGTACAAGGCCCACTATGATTTTTATTTTGGGGGACGAGGTCTCCATATGTATGGGAGACTAGCCTGAAACTCAGTGTGTAACCCAGGCTGGCCTTGAACCCATGATGTTGTCTCTGCCATCTGCACAAATACTGCATTGCAGACATTCACCACCATACTGA